ATTACTGTAGTTATGAACATAATATGAAAACAGTAAAACCTGTCTAATCTGAACACCACTGGTACGAGCCAAAAGTGTTCAGATTAGCAGCTGTTCACATTCTAACGTTTATATATTATTTGAGTTAATGGGAGCTAACAAATTTGGGACAGAAAAAAAGATTTCATATTGAGAGGCCGGCGCCTGGCCGATTGAGTATCCCGTTCACAATTGTATTCAGTTTTGAACAGAATACTCAATCGGCAGGGCACCGGCGGATAAATCGGAGCTCATGTGACCCAGGCATTAGGCTACTTTTTAAACCTATTTATTACAAAAATAGTATGCAAGCATATATCCGAATGTCCATGTCAGATTATTTTTATCTTACTCGGCTTACCCTAATGGCTCCTATATATGATATTTTGGACCAAAATAGCACCAATGTATGATATTTCATACATTGGGCCATAATAGTGCCAATATATGATATTTCATACATTGGAATATAGTAGCACCAATATATGATATTTGATACATTGGGCCATTATAGCACCTATATATGAAAGATACATTAGACCATAATAGCGTCAATATATGATATTTGATACATTGGACCAAAATAGCCCCTAAATATGATATTTGATACATTGGACCATAATAGCGCTTTTAAATATGATATTTGATACATTGGACCATAATAGCGTCTAAATATGATATTTGATATATTAGACCATAATACCACGACCTATATATGATATTTGATACATTGGACCATAATAGTGTCTAAATATGATATTTGATATATTAGACCATTATAGCGCCTACATATGATATTTGATACATTGGACCATTATAGCACCTATATATAATATTTGATACATTGGACCATAATAGCACCTTTATATGATATTTGATATATTGGACCATTATAGCGTCTCTATATGATATTTGATACATTGGCCATAATAGCGCCTATATATATGATATTTGAAACATTGGATTCTGCAAGATCCCGATTCCCGATAGACATAGTCTTACTCTATACGATTTCAAGTTCAATAGGAAACCTCCCCCCTGCACTTAATAATCGTATATGGGTACATTTTATCAATCATCACTCCAAAAATTGATGTGCACTCCTTCTCAACAATAAAACTATTGAATGGTATGGAAAGTGGTGTTTGTTGATTGATGTATAAGATAGGGACTTCCTTTTTATCTTTTCATCATAGGAAATAGTTATGAGGCCTGGCATATTGATACATGATCATATAACTACTCTTGTACTTTAACTCTTATTTGATGGATCAATATACATTAGTTACATAAAAATATTTATATTTGTTAGTTTTTTATTTTTCATCATGGCCCTTCGTCAAGAGGGATCAGTTTCTAAAGAATTCCAGGGCTTCAATTTTCAAAACAGTCCCAAAATTAAAAAATTCATGCCCAGCAAACAGTATATACTGAACCATAAAATAGGTGAGAAAACTGAAATTGTATCAGTACCATAAAGAGTAAAGGCCTCATGCTGAGATTAATTTCCTTCTCACCACTAGTATTAAGCAATATATTTGTTTTAATTACATCACATTAATTATATATGCAAGATATACTATAACCCAGATTAAGACCAATTGTCATTGATTCATTAGGGACTTAATACAAATGTATAATCTTATACTGCATATGTATATGTGTAATTTACAAATTATCTATTGACATATTAATACATATGATTGATGATGTTGAGTTGGATGTTCACTTCCCCTTCTTGTTCATGAACTTGATGTTCATTTCCCCTTCTTGTTCATGAACTTGATGTTCACTTCCCCTTCTCGTTCATGAACTTGATGTCCACTTTCCTTTCTTGTTCATGAACTTGATGTTCACTTCCCCTTCTTGTACATGTACTTGATGTTCACTTCTCCCATTCTTGTTCATGAACTTGATGTTCACTTCCCCTTCTTGTTCATGAACTTTATGTTCACTTCTCCTTCTTGTACATGTACTTGATGTTCACTTCCCCTTCTTGTTCATGAAATTTATGTTCACTTCCCCTTCTTGTACATGTACTTGATGTTCACTTCCACCAATGTTCATGTACTTGATGTTCACTTCCTCTTCTTTTTCATGAACTTAATGTTCACTTCCCCTTCTTGCTCATGCACTTGATGTTCGCTTCCCCTTCTTGTACATGTACTTGATGTTCGCTTCCCCTTCTTGTTCATGTACATGATGTTCACTTCCCCTTCTTGTACATGTACTTGATGTTCACTTCTCCCATTCTTGTTCATGAACTTGATGTTCACTTCCACCTATGTTCATGTACTTGATGTTCACTTCCTCTTCTTTTTCATGAACTTAATGTTCACTTCCCCTTCTTGTTCATGTACTTAATATTAACTTCCCCTTCTTGTTCATGAACTTGATGTTCACTTCCCCTTCTTGTACATGTACTTGATGTTCACTTCTCCCATTCTTGTTCATGAACTTGATGTTCACTTCCACCTATGTTCATGTACTTGATGTTCACTTCCTCTTCTTTTTCATGAACTTAATGTTCACTTCCCCTTCTTGTTCATGTACTTAATATTAACTTCCCCTTCTTGTTCATGAACTTGATGTTCACTTACTCTTCTTGTTCATGAACTTGATGTTAAATTCCAGTTCTTGTTCATGTACTTGATGTTCACTTCCTCTTCTTGTTCATGAATTTAATATTCACTTCCTCTTCATGTTCATGAACTTGATGTTCACTTTCCCTTCTTGTTCATGAACTTGATGTTCACTTCCACTTCTTGTTCATATACTTGATGTTCACTTCCACTTCTTGTTCATGAACTTAATATTCACTTCCCCTTCTTGTTCATGAACTTGATGTCAACTTTCCTTTCTTGTTCATGAACTTGATGTTCACCTCCTCTTCTTGTTCATGAACTTAACATTTACTTCCCCTTCTTGTTCATGAACTTGATGTTCACTTCCCCTTCTTATTCATGAACTTGATGTTCACTTCCCCTTCTTGTTCATGAACTTGATGTTCAGTTTACCTGCAACTGAATTTGACATATAAGTCACACCGTTTCTTAATATTTGTTGCACTCTCCAATCAGGAATATTTAACTGTATTGTTACAGTTACACACATGTTGTGAATCTCAATAGATAACCAGGGGGTCATTAACAGAACTTTTGCAAAGTTACGAATTCACAAGTCAATTGTTTAATTTACGAATTTGGTAAATGTGCATTAACAGAACTTTCTTAAAGTTAAGAACGATTCGCGCTGTGATTAAACCTGTTTCCGCGACAATCTTGTGAATGGCATATTTCTCATCCAGTTCTTATGTAAGGTATACAGGTTGGCAAAAACAAATTGTTCTTTATATGCATGCTAAATTCAAGCTAAAATATCCACCAATTCTTTCATGATTAGCAAATATGTTCCTGAGCTGGGAATCTTTGAAATCGCGGAGACAGGTTTAATCACAGCGCGCAATGATGTCAAATGACATCATATTTTTATTTGTGCTAAATAATGATATAAGATGACGTCACAATTTGAAATTCGTTTACGAACGATAAAACTTCTGAATGACTTACGAAAGTGTTCTGTTAATGGCTGATTCATAACTTTACGAATTCGTAAGTCATTCGTAACTTTTTAAATATTTACGAATTTCATAAAGCGAAAGTTCTGTTAATGACCCCCTGGAATATTTCACCATATTGTTGTATGTTAGAAGTACGTTGTGAAACTCAATTGATAACCTGGGATATTTCACCATATTGTTGTATGTTAAAAGTATGTTATGGAACTCAATTGATAACCTGGGATATTTCACCATATTGTTGTATGTTAAAAGTATGTTATGGAACTCAATTGATAACCTGGGATATTTCACCATATTGTTGTATGTTAAGAGTATGTTATGGAGCTCAATTGATAACCTGGGATATTTCACCATATTGTTGTATGTTAGAAGTACGTTGTGAAACTCAATTGATAACCTGGGATATTTCACCATATTGTTGTATGTTAAAAGTATGTTATGGAACTCAATTGATAACCTGGGATATTTCACCATATTGTTGTATGTTAAAAGTATGTTATGGAACTCAATTGATAACCTGGGATATTTCACCATATTGTTATATGTTAAAAGTATGTTATGGAACTCAATTGATAACCTGGGATATTTCACCATATTGTTGTATGTTAAAAGTATGTTATGGAGCTCAATTGGTAACCTGGGATATTTCACCATATTGTTGTATGTTAAAAGTATGTTATGGAACTCAATTGATAACCTGGGATATTTCACCATATTGTTGTATGTTAAAAGTATGTTATGGAGCTCAATTGATAACCTGGGATATTTCACCATATTGTTGTATGTTAAAAGTATGTTATGGAACTCAATTGATAACCTGGGATATTTCACCATATTGTTGTATGTTAAAAGTATGTTATGTAGCTCAATTGGTAACCTGGGATATTTCACCATATTGTTGTATGTTAAAAGTATGTTATGGAACTCAATTGATAACCTGGGATATTTCACCATATTGTTGTATGTTAAAAGTATGTTATGGAGCTCAATTGGTAACCTGGGATATTTCACCATATTGTTGTATGTTAAAAGTATGTTATGAAACTCAATTGATAACCTGGGATATTTCACCATATTGTTGTATGTTAAAAGTATGTTATGGAACTCAATTGATAACCTGGGATATTTCACCATATTGTTGTATGTTAAAAGTATGTTATGGAACTCAATTGATAACCTGGGATATTTCACCATATTGTTGTATGTTAAAAGTATGTTATGGAACTCAATTGGTAACCTGGAATATTTTTTCAATATATCGTCATAGTTATGAGTATGTTATGAAACTCAATTGATTAAAATGAATTGTGATGTAGAAATGGCTTAGTATAATATTTTGGATTGTGAAAAACAATGTGTAATCATAAAAAATCTACTAACTGATTCTTTTCATTATTTTCAGGGGTCTTCCATAGTTGACACAAGAACAGACGCAGAGGTCCTCGCTGAATTCCAAGAGGATGAATTTAATAAATTTCATGAACACGATGCATGCTGGGACCTTAACAAAAGAGGAGCTGTTGGTGAAACAGCCCTCCATTTATGCTTCTTAAAATCAAATGATAGTCCTGTCCATTTGGATATTGCCAACATACTGCTCAAACTGTACCCAAAACTCGCCTTAGATATATATGAAGGAGAAGAATACTTCGGTAAGTGAATTTCTTACACTTCCTTCCTTCTTTTCTATAATGATCAATGCCTCAAAAAATCGCTCATTTATTATGTGAATCAATAGAAAAAGGTGAGAGTAGTTGGACTCAAGTTGGAACAAGAAAATTGTTCATCCATTTAACTTGCAAATTCTATTGATGCATTTAAGTGCCATACTCTTTGCATTCATTTGACTGCTTCTTGAAAGAGAACTTAGTAGTTGAGAACTAGACTCCTCGAGATCTGAACCAAAATTCTCGGTAATTTAAAAAGCAACCCTTTTGCCTTTTGAAAAGCACTGTATGTCTCATTAAATGTATAGCTATTAGAAGGGTATGATTAGAGTAATGACTGTACAGTGTACATATTATAACGATGATGTCATTAAAGACTTTGTATATTTTCATTTTTTATTTTAATTCTTGACTTTACTCTCAATTTTATTTACTTGGAAACAGAAAAAACAGAAAACAATATACCTTACAGTAACTACGATATTTAGAAATGAATGCAGTCACCTAAAATCCATAATTGTTTTATTTGTGAACCATATCGCTATAATAGTTATTTTCTACGGCAAGTTCAAGACAAAGGCCCGCAATTAGATATCCACTATTCACAAATAACCTTTCATCGTCGAAGCAGGATATTTCATGCCATGTTAAACTCAGTGAGATTTATTTCCTAGCCTACCTGATGAAAACATTGACATTATTCCAATCTAATTAATCAAATAAAATTACCATTTTCTGAAATAATGTATTGATCCGCAAGAATCAATTCGGATCGTATTAACGTAGGAATTGGCATTTTACATACCTACATACAAGTGTTATACAGTCATGTCGTTTTGTGGTCCCAGGTAGACACTTTAAAATAAATGAGAAAAGAAAATTGTATGTTGTTATTATAGAGCAGCGTTGGTTTGTGATTAATAACTAATTCATCATTTTTCCAAATGTACATTATGAGTCTCTTTTTATTCTCTTATAATATTGATATCCTTAAAGTATTCAGTAGAATGAGTTAAAGGGATTTTAAATGTGGAGCTTCTTTTTAGAAAAATACATGTATGTTGAGATACCCCAGGGTCCTAATCCATGTTTTTGGACAGTCGGATTAACAATTTTATGATACTGGGCACCTTACTTGGAGAAAAACATATTTTTATGAGAAATATTATATTTATTGTCAGATGATAATCAGGGTGAAAGATATGACTGTAAAATCATTTTGCCGTACCATACCTGGTTCTTTGTATAATAAAAGTTCATTCATATTTCCCCTGGAGCTAGGAGTCATAAGAATTATGGCAGTATGATGGCCATCAAAGTAATAGTTACAAGCCATTGATTGCTAGAAGTAATAGAGCAGGTAGAAATTCCAATAATAATTGGTAAAATCGTAATGGCTACTTATCCAAACAGTACAAAACATATTTTGTATATTGAAATGTATGTTTCAAAAAAGCCATAAGTAAATTGGTGTGAAAATGTAATTTAGGCATGCAAACATACACCAGAATAATCTTAAAATACAATCTCATCTTGTTTGCTCCATGGTTGAATGTTTTTCATCTGGTAGAATTCATAATCTCTGTTACCGCTTTAAAACTCTTGTAAAATGTGATTTTTGATTAGATGAGGTGAATTTTGAGATCTTGGTCATCAATTTGTTTTGATATAAAATTAATTCAACCATGACTGTTCTCTAATTGAGTTTCTCAACAAGTCTCTAATTGTCCATACATGAATGACCATGCATCTATTCAATCATCCAGGAATCTATGTTTGTGTTGTACTGTGATGTCACACTTGGGAATGGCGAAAATAATAATAAGTTTGGTTATTTCATGAACCTCAATCTCCAATTCTCTGAACAATGTTTTTATTTTTCTATGTTTGAATCGGAATAAATAATGATAGGCCATTCGATATGGTGAAATTCTATACTCGTTTGACAGATTGTCAGTACAGATGCACTCCCTTTTGGTTCGTGCTTTATACGACATTCTGTCCAACTCGTGCTGAATTTAACCATAGTATTGAATGGCCTATCATTATTCAATCCTAATTAAGATGATTTAAAATGAATTACATAATGCAGCACAAAAATACAGAGCTCATAGGTTGCAAAGCCTTGATCATCTATAATAGAGAATCGAACATTCTCACGGAATGTTTTGTAACAATAAAGTGACAATCCAATACATATGATATAAACAACAATTAAACACTCATTAATAGATAGATGTATTCTTGAATAAAACCACTATAACATCACAAGTGGTTTGGCATTTAATAGGAGTGGAGTTGTAAATGTCTGTAGGTAGATATTTGCAGTGCTAATGATTTTTCATTTGCTTGTACCGATGGAAAATCAAATAAACACATAACATTTACGTCAGTTCTTAATTGGTCTTGTCTTCCTGGTCGTTGTGTATCTTGTTGTTATGGCTTGTAATAGAGAAGTCATGTGTATATTGCACGAGTGGTTATATAACAAAAATTGATACATCAATGTCTCGGACCATGGTATAAAAATTCTGTGTGACACTATTTATTTGAAAGTTTTATGAAGTAATAAATAGGTAATCATTTATTCTGTTTTACTTGAGCTTTTATGACTTGGTCAAAATGTAAATGGATAATTGTATTGTTTATTTTGTTGCCTTGACAATAAATTACATCTTTTGTATCTATGCCTATGATAGTAGCAAGTCACAAAGCATTGAGTTTGGTCATTGGCTTTCAAGAGCTTTCTCTTGAAAGCCCATGGTTTGGTCCAGTTGCATATTAAACGGAGAATTATCCCAGCTTGGTACAACCCCTTCTCCCATGGGGAGGTCTTCTTACTAGAGGAATTGACATAAGCAGATCAGGACTTGGCGAGTGTACCAAATACTCCATAGTTTTAATCTGAGATTACTGAATTGTCACATTTTAATGGCATTCTGCAGCTGAGTGTCCATCGTATAAAATACATTCAAGATTAAGGCGACGCTATATTAAATAATATTTACAAAAAATGACTGCCATATTTTTTTGATAAAGACACATGTTTTTAAAATCTGTTTACCTTGTATATGAATTGTGAATCTTGACTAATGAAACATGTCAAAGTTAACATCACACATAAACGCATTTTTCCAAACTATGAATTGGAGGTGCATGGATCCCCAAAGCTAGCATGAAGAGTGCGAAGTGAGGCTAATTTTTGAAAGTTTCAAGGAGTAGCCTTGCAACAGTCACACATTTGCAAGAGTCTAAAATTTCCACAAATCATCTTACCTTTCCCAGGAACAACGAAGGAGCATGAAAATGTGGACTTCTTGCATTGTTAGAGTATAATAAACCTCAAACCATTGTAAATTCCAAATATTTCATGTCCACATTTTGTTTGCCGGAACTACTTCTAGACTTCCTGATTAATCCTCATGCAAGTTTTGTGACTACACCAAGTGGCATGGATTATCACTTGTATGTTTTATCTATTACAGTGTAATTATCATGATAGATACATGATAGAGGCTTTATGAATGATAAACAATGGAAACATGAATGAAGATAACTCTGGACTAAAAAATAGTTCCAGGAAACAAAATGGTGGACATGAAATATTTAGAATTCACAATGGTTTGAGCTTTATTATACTCTAACAATGCAAGAAGTACACATTTTTGTGCTCCTTCGTTGTTCCTTGGTAAGGTAACATGATTTGTGGAAATTTTAGACTCTTGCAAATATGTGACTGCTGCAAGTCTACTCCTTGAAACTTTCAAAAATTAGCCTCACTTCGCACTCTTCATGCTAGCTTTGGGGATCCATGCACCTCCAATTCATAGTTTGGAAAAATGCGTTTATGTGTGATGTTAACTTTAACATGTTTCATTAGTCAAGATACACAATTCATATACAAGGTAAACAGATTTTAAAAACATGTGTCTTTATCAAAAAAATATGGCAGTCATTTTTTGTACTTTTTATTTAATATAGCGTCGCCTTAATCCACATAAATCTTATTGGATTTGTAACTCTGTATTTCAGTTTGCAGATTTCGTATCTAATACGAAGTCTAATATTAATTGGTAAGGCAGAGTATGTGTTATTTCTTGTTTTCACATTAGTATCATTTTCTCTTAAAGCCTTTTAATAAATCTAAGATCAAAATAAAATAAGATCCCCAAAAAATCGAATCCCTATGGACCAACATCACAGGAACACCCAGCTCAAAGAAATGCATGTTCTGCCACGTGGGCTTTATGGGGGAACTACAACACACACTAAAATGCAGCATTTATCTAGCAGTTTTAACACTTAGATATTAAGGGAAAAAGAAGAATCAATGATGTATCATGTGAAAATACAATATTTAAAGACATGGTCTAAATCAACTTGGAAAGGAAAACTTTAGCGACTGCTCTATTGAGTGAATGATTATGGAATGAAATGAATCTCTTAGCTCAGTATGGTAGTTAGTTCTTGTATTGATTACGTTCTTGTGACTGTTACATTGAGAAATACAGTGAAATCTATGGATATGGAACACGATTAGTATTCTGGAAAATTGCTTCTCATCAACAGCAGACAATAAAAGAAATTTGAATATCAACCTCAAAAGTATTTTCTTCATTTTAAAATCTCTTCTTTTAATTCTGGATAGAGATAGTTTATTCTGATTTTTACAAAGGGTGAAATAATTGAATGTCCCCTAGGGCACTTTCTACAAACTTCTATATGAACAATAGTGTCATGATGCTCCGGTGCATCCATATGAAAAACAACAGTATCAACTTTTTAACAAATACCACCTACGTCAAATCCAAAAGCCTACAGATTAGTTCGATGACCCATATGACCCAGTGCTTTGTGGCTGTATGTTCCAAAGCTGGTACATGGGTTTGCACAACAATTTATTGACTTCTACACAATTAAAAGATCAATACCAAATGAAAAACTATATCTCTTAGTGCTTACATCACCCAAGTAAAATCTATTCTATTCTTGTTCTATCTTTATCCTCATCCTGTGCTTGAGGGAGAAAGGAATTTAATACAACCCAATAGAAATTGTCCAATATCATAGATTTGTCAAATCAGAAGCCGATGTCATCTAAAATTGAAAAAATCAATGATGAGACGACGTAACTATAGATTTGTCTGTGACTATGATTGCTTCCATTGGTCATTGATTGCCACGTATATTCTGCAAATGTTGTAACTATAACTGAGAGTAAATATTTTCAAACGACAGTTGTATGTGAGGAAGTTACGCGTAAACTTGAGTACACAGTGCTATCAGGATCAATAAGTATTCGTCTATATTTTGACCTCTAATCTTTTGGTGCAATAAGTAAATTTTATGGTCATTATTTATCTTGAGCTATGATTTGAAATCAATTATCCCATAATGGTAGTTGCATATATGTATTTGGAATCCCTTGATGAATTTTTTGATTCAAATTCAATCTTGAAATTAAGAAATGATTCAATCCTAATCCATACATGTTCACAAAATTATTGATAATTAAAGATACATTTCTTATTGTTAGAAAGTTTATGAAAATTATTTTGATTTATAGTGAATTGAGTTTAACTTTGGTTGAAAGTTCAGTGATTTAAAATGTGTGTTTTCTCCACAAACAATTTCTGATCTTTCAAACAAATGGGTAGCAATGAATACTTATACGCAAGTACCCCAGTCATAAGGAAACCAAACCCCAACTATCCCAAATCATGAAGTATTTAGCACTTAAAAGATTTATTTGTGTATTTTCAGGGGAGAGTTGTCTTCATATTGCAATAGTTTATGGTGACGTGAAGTCTGTGCTACTTCTACTGAAATATGGTGCTAACGTTAACCAGAGAGCGACAGGCCGCTTTTTCTTGCCAGAGGACCAAAAACGCAAGAACAAAGCCAAGGAGACAAACTATAATGGTAGGTTATTTGCCTATATTGAGTGTATGGTCGTTATGTGTTTGTTATATCCTTAGTAACATCCTGTTTAACATATTCTTGATTTAACTCCTGAGTTACGTCACCTATGGAGGCCTGTTGGCATATTCTTAGAATAAGTGATACAGGTTCAACGTGATATGACATTGATCAATTGCATAACTATCTTTAGGCCATTGAATTGAATATCTCTTCACTGTCTTCCTGGGAAATATATTCCCCATGAAATCTAGAATTAACTTAGAATTAAGTGTAACACAGACAGCAGTCATATAATGTATACGTACATACATGCACATTATATTATTGAAAATATGTACAATGTATATACATTTTTTACTTTTTCTTGTGTAAAGATATTACTTTTAAATTTTATCTTTTTTCTAATCAGCCAGTAGCAAAGATTATTATAGCCCATTTTACATAATTAAGGAGGGTAAGACAGAATCAAAATACAGTGAGATCTGTAAAGTGAAACACCTCTGTTAGTAGAACACTTTTCAGAATCCCAAGACCAACTGACTTAATGTTAAATAAACCTCTATAAGTGGAACACCCCCAAGTGGAATACATTTAAGTGGTACCAAAGAGTGTTCCACTTAGACAAGTTTTACCATAATTACTTAATTAGAAATTTTTAATTTTCAATTTTCTGTTTAGGTTATGCCTATTTTGGAGAGTACCCTTTGGCTTTTGCTGCGTGCTTTGGTCATGAAGCGATATATGACCACCTGATACACCATGGTGCTGACCCTGATCTGCAAGACTCCTTTGGCAACACAGTATTACACATGCTTGTCATACAGAACCAGTCAGTAAGTACACATAATATACACATAATACTGTCTCAGGATTACACATAAATATCACATTATTACACAGAACTTTACTACATGACAAATGAAATGTTACAGGATTACACAATGTTGTTGCAACAATATTATACATTATACCAAAGTCAGAGCAATATCAGGTATATAATAGCAAGTGATAAATCACATATTTGGGACAGAGATGATATCAGGGATGATATCGGGTTTAGAGGGATGATATCAGGGATGATATTGATATCATCCCGGGTAAAATCAAAAATTTTACAATTTTCCCCCAAAAATTCATTTTTTCAAAAGAAACATTTTTTTCAAAATTTTTAATTTTTCCCAAATTTTTCATTTTTTGAAATTTTTCATTTTTTCATAAAAATAATTTATGCTCTTGACCAAGGTATAAGGTTGTTATTCACGGGATAATATGGGTAATATCCATATCGGATGATATCAGATGATATCAATATTTCCCTCAGTCACTGCGTTCCTTCTGGAAAAATTGATATCATCCTTGTGCACTGATTCCCTATATCAGATCCCTCCTGGTGAATAACTACTTTTTAGCATCACAGTTTTACTTATTGACATCACAGTATTACACACTAATGTCACAGTATTACACATTTACATAACATCATTTCTTACATATTTACAGCACTATTACTCATTAACATTAAAATATATTACTTATACACACATAGCATCACATAACTAAATAATGCATGCATATAACATCATATCATATAATTCTTCATCTATTTGTGTTATTTATGTTCTATGTAAAACAGTTTATATCTATTTATTTTACTTATTTTCTATACAGTAAATTTCATGTAAAACTTTTGCTGCTCTTGCTTTGTGTTCACAATTAAAACTCAAATTAATTTATTTCTACAAGAGTCTCTTTGTAAGTATTTAATTATTTTAAGATTTTCGAAAGTAGCGATGTTGTTTAATAGACTATTTCTGTGAAATGATAAGTACCGTATTCAAATTTAGTAGCACATTACTCGTATACAGAAAACATGTTTTTTTGCAGTATATTCTGTAAGTGTGTAGATCACATGCTTGAGGAATTTTTAGATTGAAGTACAGATTTGTAGATTGACACTAATCCATAGATTTTTTGTGATTTCATAGAAATTATGCAAAGCACTTGTTATTAGTTTTGATAAATAACATGATACAAAGCTGCTTTACTTAGTTATTGCACACATTCAATCATAGATTTCGAAACATTCATATTATTAAGGTGTTATATCAAGAAAAGACAGACATGTTGTAGTATATAGAGTCACCTTTTGGTATTATATAACGCACTGTTTTTTAACTTTTTGTTTCAATTGATTTTTTCCGATGTCATCAGGTTACAAATTGGCATTGAATGTAAATAAACTATATCCTTTGCAAGAGGTCATCTTTGTCTTCACTCTCAGAATTAAAAAAGTTTCTTTAATGAAGCTTATACACGTATCCAATCAGAATTAGTGGTACAAAATTTCTGTACTGCTTTTTCTACTTAAAAGTACATGTAGTACATGATATTCATTTTAGGTTAAAACTCCCATAAAAGGCTGTGAAAGCTACTTTGAGATCATTATTATGTCACTACAAGTGATGAGATATTCTGCTGTGTTTGATATTTGGCTTTTAGCATACAGCAGTCGGCATTCAGGATCTGTAACAAATGGCAGGTTGTGACATCTTATATAAAAATACCTCGTTAGATCTTGTAATCACAAAATGCAAAATCACTCACAGTTCTAAGAGTGTGTATATGGCTTAGCCAATGGAATTCAGAGTTTTGAAAATATGATGGTTACATGATTGATGCGTGATAGCCACACTAAGTAACTTTGATTTTGATAAAAAAAATGTCGCAGTTAAGCTGCGAAAGATCAATAGGAATATCTACTGGAGAGGATGTACTTGATATTGAATCAGATGATCAATCAATTAAAAGTGGCAACTATAGATAATCCCTGGATGAGAACGAGATCACTGAATCAAATGAAAAGAAATCGTCTTATAAGTCGAGTTGATTTAATATTATCTGATATTGAAGCCTAAAGTAATGTAATCTCATCAATCCATATTCCATAGCTCATGAATTAGAATTCAGGTTACATTTTAAATACTTCTGAAGACATGCCCTCTCTCAGCCTCGCTCAAAAAATTTATTGTAAAGGCCATCGACTGTATTTCATACTGTTACTTCCAGGAATATTCCTTGCAAGCCCATTGCTGTTCGATACATCATGATAGACCATGACATCTCATTTCATCTCAGCGATGTGATGTCATCATAATGGTTCCAATAATAAATTCTGTATTATCCATACTATGAGAGGGGAAATATGAGAACAGGTTTTAAATGATCACTGCATTTATTTTGAAATGATCAATGTTAACCATTTCCCATGTTTTAGCAAGTACGTATAGTAAATAAATGGTGATATAGCTGCCATATCAAGAGAGATATTGGCTTGCAAGGAATATACCTCTAGAATTAAGAATACCCTGGATCTGAATATGATTCCTCTTGGAAATTTTGTAGTTCTTTTTTGTAGATTTTACTTATATATTATGATAAGAGATACTAGTTTTAATTGCAAAGAGTGATCTACAGAAATTAAAAAAAATCATGTAAAGTTTTGGGTTCTGATAGAATGCTGATTAAGTTAATTTTCAACTAAAGTAAAATAGATGATATATCACAAGTTACTTTTATATTAAGGAGAAAATAGAAAATTCCAAGATCACTATAGAATTGTATCTATAACCCCGTCACCATAGTCTAGAAACATGTTTAAGTGTAGCAATCCAGGAGGTCTTATAAATACGCAGAGTAAAAAATCAATCCACCATTTAATTGTCTTTCATGGATTTATTCTTGCTTCGCTATTACTGTTACGTCGTACATTATAAACCTGAATACAAAACAAAACAACATATTTGGCTTTTACTGAATCTCGTGTTTCACCTTTTGGATCAAGAATATATATTTTCAATGATCAGTAATTGATAGTTTTTTGGTATTTCTTTGCATAAGAATTATCAGTTATAATGTAAAAGTTATGAAACAAGTTGATATAAAAGTGGCTCATCAGGCCCATTACCAGCTTTTGCCAGGGGCTTCACTTTTCAAAAAGTTTCAGAGAGGGTTTACATTTGGCAACTTTGACCTAAATCACTTGAAGAGTGCTCAAAATGGTGACAACTTGCATGATTTTGAAAGAATTTTTAGTGGGGCGAGCGGGGGGGGGGCTGCTAATAGAAAAAACAATACAATTTGCATGAGATACAAGACATGAGACATGAGATATGAGACAATTGCATTTTGAATAGTCAAACAATGGAGCTACTTCTTTATCTTTGTGTCAGTTGGTTGCAGTTTTATATGGTGAGTAGTTCCCATCTGGGATTGAAAAATCAAACTGGGAAACGAGTATGGGTAGTTTCTCTGGTAGAAAGATTAGAGCCCTTCTCAAAGTTTTGACATTGTTATAGCTCAATCCATGTATTTCTTACTAAATGATATACTTTTGGTTGGTCCAAGTGCGATTCAAATTAGACAGCTTTCACTATACATGTATTTTGTATGGATAAACATTTTTATCATAGTATATTTTAATGAAATGTACTGAATGAAATAAAATGAATTAATACATATTATTTACCCATTAGCTGTGTATACATGATGTGTATCACGTTTTACTGTCAGTAATTTCACATGGGTATGTTGATAATTTAGAGGTAAATATCGATTTATTGGAGCACTACCTGGTCTTATAGACATGAACGATATATATAGAATTACGTTTAACAAACAAATACATATGAAATCCAAGAATTATTTGTTTATTTCATAATATTCTTTTTCACTTCATCATTATTTTATGTCACAATGACTTTTTTCACATAATTCCTGCAAATTATTTACTTAATAATCATGTAATGGATCAAATGACAATTAGGCAATGGGCCCTGCAGTTGTGTTTTGTTCCCCGATTCCAAATCAATTGCCTCGCATTAATTATTTATTAAGATCTATTAACTGCATCAATAGTTGTTAATCAAATATACCCTTAACATTCAATCAAACGAGACACTTAATTGATTCTTTTGTCCATTCTCTGCACTGGAAATGACGCCAATCGGTCCGAATAAATTCTGTTGTGTAAATGGGTCATTCTGATATATGAAAATTCCTCTTTATCAAAGTCCTTTGCACTCTAAGAGATCATCAGGATTTGGATCCTACAATGTAAATAAATAGGCACCTTCGAGAGATATAATAATATACCGGGATCTAAAATTGATAGTTCTACCTGTGATATATTACAGTACTTTACAAATACCAGTAATGTTAATATTTATGCCATCATTTAAAGATAAACACAGTTGTTATCTATCTTTGAGAATTGGTATTGTTCTCACCTATTTATATCCTATAATGTGGATTGTACATATAGACAAGGATATGATGTTTATTATGACTTCATGGAATTTTGTTTTTTTTGTACTTTAATGTAATTGTTTTTGCTACTATTCATTACAATTCATTACAAACCTGATTTAACTTAAGCATGTTTCTTAACTCATTCTGTATTTATAGAATCTATACATTCACTTTGATTATAATAGAAATCAAATTTTCAATAATGATAAGTTTGTTAATGACTTTTGCTTTTTTGTATTATACTATTATGTGTACTACTAATTCTTTCATTGTCTATTCCATGGTATGTATCGCTATGTGTATTTGTTCTTCCATTTTGTATTCCAGGGGATGTATCGTTAAGTGTACTTATTCTTCCATTTTCAATTCTAAGGGATGTATCATCTCTATGTGTACTTATCCTTCCATTGTCTATTCCATCGCCATGTGCACTACTAATTCTTTCATTGTCTATTCCATGGGATGTATTGCTATGTGTACTTATTCTTCCATTTTGTATTCCAGGGGATGTATCGCTATGTGTACTTATTTTCCCATTACTTATCCCATGGGATGTATCATCTCTTTGTGTATTTATGCTTCCATTATCTATTCCATCACCATGTGAACTTATTGTTCAATTGTTTATTATAGGGGATGTATCGCCATGTGTACTTATTCTTCAATTGTTTATTTCAGGGGATGTATCGCTATGCTGTAAAGCACCATACTAAGGCAGCAAACCCGAACATCAAGAACATCTACAATATGACACCGCTGCAACTTGCCAGTAAACTGGGCAGAAACAAGATCTTCAATGAAATGATGGAGCTGAGCAGTGTGGTAAACTGACTTCTAAATGTGTTATATTACAGTAAAACCTGTATAAGTGGAACACTTTTTGTTCCTCAAAAAGGTGTTCCACTTTGGAGGTGTTCCACTTACAGAGGTTCATTTAACATTAATTGAATTGTTCACGGGACTCTGAAAAGTGTTCCACTACGGAGGTATTCCACTTGCAAAGATGTTCCACCTTTAATCATTTGAATTGTTCCACTTTGAATTATATAGTATTTCATAAATATATTGTAATGTTTTGTCATATCATAAGGATTATATAATAAATAAAATAAAGACGTACTTTATCACTATTATAAATATTTGGATATTATTATTTAATAGTATCTTCACTACAAACCATACATTGTTGTATAGAGTACAGGGTCAGGATTCATATATTTGAACATTGAATTGCTATATTTTAATAGTGGAACTCACTGTAAACTGTACCACTCATTAAAACACTTTCATCACAATAGATAACATGTACATGTACCTCTTTTAATAAGAAATGTGTCCATTCATCTATATATCAAACCTTTTATAATTTCAGGAGGTGTGGAGATACAGTAACATCACATGTTCCAAGTATCCATTAGATGCCATTGATACTATCAAAGAAGATGGAAAAACAAGTAGGGAGTTTAACACATATAATGTACTGTTTGGACCATAAGTAAATGAGTCCTGGATTTGCTGAAGTGAGGATTTCTCATGTTAAAATTAAGAGAATTTTCAAGAGGCTATATAAGTGGATGAGAGTATACAAGATGTAAAATATGCATGCAAATTTTATGGGGTATGTACCGAGACGGACAATATTGGAAACTATGGGCTTTCAAACCACCATGCTTGGAAATGGTAATAGAAAACTGATACTCATTTATTTATTGTCCAAACTGTATTCTTGATATAAACTTTATGTATACATCTTGGATAAGGTGTCTAGGGATGATAATAAGTGATTAGATATTACAAAATTCATATTATCCAGGGCCAGGGGTCCTGATGATACCAAAGTATTGCAAATGCAATATTCATTGCCCATCAGTTTTGCCATTAGGAAAAGTTTTTCTCATTCTACTACAAGTTTATTAGCCAAGAGAAACAAAGATGGCGGTGCAATGAATGCCTCTGTTTACATATCTGAAAGATATATATAATTAATCAACACGACTACCATCTTTATTCTTTATATCCATCCTCTGAATGCAGGACTCAAGATGTTATCCACTACATATACTTTCCTTCTCGGAAGAATGATTGAGGCATGAGTTCTGGAGGCCTCTGTTTGGAGGATGCTCTATATCTGCCTCAAGCTTATGCTATGGATGGTACCTTTAATTGTAAGAACCTTGGCTTAATTCCTTTAGTAAATAACCTTGGACTTAAAGTTCTTCATTTTATTGTAGATTGGAACTCAGCTCTGATGTTGATCTTGAAAGGTGAAACAGATGAACATTTGGAAATGTTAACAGGGGGAGTGATCAAACAACTCCTGGATGAGAAATGGAAAACATATGCCCAGGTGAGGATCTATCCCTTCTATATATCCAAAAGTGAGAACAAAATTAAATCAACATTAAGATTCGGGCAAGATTGTACAAATGAAAATAAAGATTGGATCTTTGATATAGGAATTTGATTTTGGAGCATCATGTGGAACATCATGTTTCTGAAATAGTCATTGTCAATAGTAGTATGATTTGACTCAGTGTTTAATGAGGGAATGATAAATCTCTTAATTACATTTACATTATATTCTTACCATTTACATGTTCTGAACTTACATGATTACTAACTTTATATTGAATTATTGATAAACATATGCCTTTAGACTTTGACGCAATAATAACTAGTAATGCTCCAGCTTAGGCCCGGATCTGTGTCAGTTGGCATAGCTGAAATTGAAATAAAACATACTTTTAAAAATTGTTACTTTATATTTTAGAGTGAATTTATCAAGAGATTAATAGTAACCATTATAAACATTATGGTAATTAGTCTCGTGGTGTATACAAGGCCTGATTCAGTTGAGTTAAACTATGGTGTCAGCCCCCTGGATATAGTGAGTGACCGAGGCCAACTTTTAAATGAATTAATTATAGACCATAGTGTCTAACATGAATTATGGTCTGTGATTTGTGTGTAAGAAACATGTTCCCTAGCTAACTGATCTAATCCATTTCATTGAGGCAGGTGTCTAAACTTCACCCATTTGGTTCATTTTAAAGAACATTTGTCAATGGTATCATTTTGAAACCAGACACATTTAAAATCATTTTAAAAATTCACAGAGTCAATTTCTCTTGTGAAATAAAATGGCCACTTTGAAATTTAGATTTGTCTAACAGGTTATCTCATCTGTCAACGTTTTGCTTTTAGAATTGTCTAAACCATTTGAAGCTGTACTAACTTTGTCTATCTGTTTTTTTCATCACGTAGGATTATTGCAGGTTGTGTGACTCATCATACCCCACTGGGCAAAAGTATATATTCTAATGAGTTATTTATTTTAGTGATGCTATCATTTACAACTTTTCATGTATGTTTTCTCCAATTTTCAGTCCTTGTATTTGAGACGTCTCTTAGTGCTTGTGTTTCATCTAATAGCACTTGTATTTGTTGTGTGTCTAAGACCTGACAGAAATTATGACCTCAGGTTTGGTCATACTGACCTTGACCTTGTAAGTAAATGACCTTGGAATAGCTAAGATGCACCATATAAGATAGTACTGTAAGTTAATGACTTTGAAATAGCTAAGGAGCACCATATATGGTAGTACTGTAAGTGAATGACCTGAAATAGCTAAGATGCACCATATAAGATAGTACTGTAAGTGAATGACTTTGAAATAGCTAAGGAGCACCATATATGGTAGTACTGTAAGTGAATGACCTGAAATAGCTAAGAAGCACCATATATGGTAGTACTGTAAGTGAATGACCTGAAATAGCTAAGATGCACCATATAAGGTAATACTATAAGTGAATGACTTTTTAGTACAATGCCAAGGAGGATTGGCTCCCAAGGACGCAAATCAATATTTTCCAACAATGAAAATGTCAGAATGCCATTATTTTCTGAAATTATAACTGATTATTTTATAATCAACATTCCAAAATATTTGAAACAATATCTCAATCACTTCTTATGTTTTTTGGAATTTTTGTTTGGAAATAAGACCAAAACTTGTGAATCAAATTCTGAACTGAACAAAATGGCGACTGTTTGAATTCAAATTTTGTAATCACGACATCTCTATATACGGCAGAATATGGAGTTGGGAACCTGGGATCCAATTTCTCCTTGGTACAATGCACAATCCATACAATTACCATTCTGTACAATAAACATGTTCCATAGTAACCATTCTGTACAATGACCATTCATTCCAATGACTATACTATACAATGACTATACTTTGTACAATGACCATTCAGTATAATGACCATTCAGTACAATGAATATAATCACAATAACTACTGTGAATAATGTCTTTTCAGTATAATAATAACTACTACTCTTCAACAATGACTATTCTGCACAATGACTATTCTGCACAATGATCATTCTGTACATTGTTCGTTCTGTGCAATGACCATATCAGTACAATGATTATTTTGTCACCCATAGATTTTTACTAATATTATGTAATTTGTGTTTTTTAACATTGCGCTAACATTTATTTACTTTGTGCTAACATTGTGCTGTTTCAGAGACGGTTTTTTGAGCGTTTGGTTATTGCACTGTTGCACCTTGTTACTATAAGTGTTTGTGTCTACTGTCGACCTCCTAGTCAAGGCGATAACCATTGTGAAACTGCAAGTAACACAGAATTGCGCTATGGCACAGATGCTAAAAGTATTGTAAGTCAAACCCCAGGATACTTGTAATATATATTCCCTGGATACATGTACTACATTTATATGGAGTTACAAATACAAAATAAGTTTGGAATGCACTAAGAATGTAAAGAATGTTTATTATGTTTGTGATATAAATGGTGATATAATAAAAATGTACAAATGTAGCTTAGAATCTGTTTTATTAATATTTTAACAATTCTTAAGTAGCCAAAAGTTTTAGCCTGAAATCTGTATTATTTTTAGGTGCGCTATATAGCAGAGATCATTGTTTGTTTGGGGTGCCTTTCCACATTCCTACTACAGATAGAGGAGATTTATGCACAGGGGCTGGTAGCCTTCATGAAAAACTTGGTATGTTCCTACTTATTCAGTAATAATGGCCACACCTTGAAGTGGTGACATATTATTAGAGCCATCATTTTTGTGAGCAGCACTCTACATCAGCATCTGGAACAATGGTCACATGAGGGGTGACCTTTTGTCATGTATTGTCTTGTTTTAGGATGGTGTACGAAACTGATTTTGATAGGGCCAACATTTACACAATATACCAACATTAAAAAGTACAGTACATGCTCTAATATGAAAATATAATAGGAATATCCTATGGTTTTGAAAAAATAGTATTTATAACCATGAGTGGATATTGATATCTTTACGAGTGAGCACAGCGAATGAGTGAAGATATTGATATCCATGAGTTGATATAATTGATATTTTTGAAAAACCATACTTTTTAAGAAGTGATATTCAATGGTTTGGGGATTTTTTGCCAAAATATGATATCTTGATCAACATATCAAATATATCTTCACCTGATGTTTGATCTACAAGTTCCTTGTAACCATAGGATAAATATGAATATAAAAAAGTATGAAAAATGAGAACTGAAAACCTCTGTTCTGCCATCACCAACATTTATACAATTTTTACTTTCAGGCTAGTGCTCCGGCAAAGTCCATCTTCATGGTATCGTGTTTGCTGATATTATTGTGTGTGCCCATGAGGTTCCTGGAGATGAGGAATGCTGAGGATACCCTATTAGCCCTTGCTGTCCCAGGCTCATGGACATATCTTCTCTTCTATGCCAGGTATATATATACATAAGGGTTATGTACTGGGAGGTTTTGGATATGGGGTTTATCCAGAGGGAGATATGCATATCTACCTGAGGGACCGCAGGGACCGAAGGTAGATGTGCATGTCTCACGAGGGATGAACCCAATATCCAAACCGACCATACATAACTGCTTTATCCTATACCAAGTAGTTTTCAGTGAAATTACGGGAAGCGGGAAGATATGCTCCAAAGCGGGAAGATATGCACCGAAGCGGGACATATGGTGGGAGATATGGAGGTTCTGGATATGGAAACCTCAAAATCAGGATACGGGATATATCTTACCAACTTATCTCCCTAAAACTCTACTTGGCATAGGATAAATAAGGTTTATGTACTGGGAGGTTTTGGATATGGGGTTTATCTAAGGAGAGATATGCATATCTACCTGAGGGACCGTTATTTGGAAGATTCAGTTGTTTTAGATTTATCAGTTGATTCTTAAAAAGTGTATACATGTAAAACAAATTTTTATTCCAGAATTACTGATATTCATAAGATATTATGTGAAAATAAAAATGGTATTTTTATAACCAGTAAAAAAAATTATTTTGCTTCAAACCATCGAATATGGCTTTTGAGCAATGAGGTATCCAAATCTTTATCATTTGAGAACATGAAAAGCACCCTTTAACAGTGGAATCAAAATAATATCCAATGATTTACTCATGACACAATGTTTACATGTATCTCTTCATATATTTATGTTGATATCTGTTGTCACTCACTAAGCTTGATGCAGATATCAAATCAATTCATGAATGAAAATCATATCACTCAGAAATCACATTCTCTCTATACACAACACAATAATTTAGAATTTTCTTTAATTTTCAGGAGTTCCACATTGTTTGGTCCATTTGTGATCATGATTTATAAAATGTGTGCAACAGACATGGTCAGATTTGGGATAATATATGCCATATTTATGTCTATGTTTACGCAAGGTGATGTATAACTCTACTCATTACATGTAGACGACTGCACTGCTCTTTAGAATCAAAACTACACTGAACTGAGTGGTGGGTTTTGAAACATTCCAATTCAATTCAATGGGGCCATTTCTAAGAATATCCAGAATGATGTCATGATTTAATCATACAGTACATGCATAATCACATGTGAAAGATAACTTTAGACTCAAGAAAATAATGTTTTCTAGACTAGTTCACACATACATAGAGATGTAGGAGTGATCAATGAGAATGGCCTCCAATAAAAATTCTTTTATCCATATATTAATTGATGTATTGAATTGGAATTGTTGATATACTGCACTATCCCTCTAATGTACTCTACTTTAAATTTTTCATCTTACTACTGGGGAAGGACTTGTTGTGTCTTGACTTGCACAATGTAGCTTCTTATCTGCACAACACTGTATTCGTTGTGCCTTTACTGCACAACAGTGTATTTGTAGTGCCTATACTGCACAACACTTTATTAATTGTGCCTGCACTACATAACATTGTGTGTGTAGTGCCTATACTGCACAACACTGTTTTGGTAGAGTCTCTTCTGCACCTGCACAATGCATCACGTCATACTAATAGAGAACTGTCTGCATAGTACACTTCTCCATCTCTCTTTCTAGCTCTTGGACTAAAGAATGCATATTTTCTGTATTTCTTCATTTTACAGGACTTGTTGTCTAAATAAATTCAGCATTCAATGGAAAGCATTTCAAAAAATTACAAATGCGCTTATGACAAGTATCTGTTTTATTATGTCACCACCAAAAGTGGTGACATATTGTTATGGTCTCCGTTTTTTTTATGTCACCACCAAAAGTGGTGACATATTGTTATGGTCTCCGTTTTTTTTGCGACGGCGGTTGGTGGTTGGTGGTTGGCGGTTGGTGGTTGGTGGTTGGCGGTTGGTGGTTGGAGGTTGGCGTCCGGCGTCTGTAACAATTTCTTACAACTTCCTATAACTTAACAAATACTGTTTAGATTGACTTCAATTTTTTCCTAAATCATCTACATGTTCTCAGAAGTTCAAATCTGACTTTAGATTTGACATTTGACCTTCAATGACCTTCTCAAGGTCAAAAAGGTCTTTTTTCAACTTGCTTCACATTGACTAAATCTTTTTTCAAAATCATCTACATGTTCTCAGAAATTCAAATCTGACTTTAGATTTGACATTTGACCTTCAAATCTAACTTTAGATTGGACATTTGACCTTCAATGACCTTCTCAAGGTCAAAAAAGGTCAAAAAGGTCTGTTTTCAACTTGCTTCAAATTGACTAATTTTTTTTTCAAAATCATCTACGTGTTCTCAGAAATTCAAATCTGACTTAAGATTTGACTTAAGATTTGACAATTGACCTTCAATGACCTTCTCAAGGTCAAAAAAGGTCAAAAAGGTCTGTTTTCAACTTGCTTCAAATTGACTAAAATATTTTTTCAAAATCATCTACGTGTTCTCAGAAATTCAAATCTGACTTTAGATTTGACATAAGATTTGACATTTGACCTTCAATGACCTTCTCAAAGTCAAAAAAGGTCAAAAAGGTCTTTTTTCAACTTGCTTCAAATTGACTAAATTTTTTTTTCAAAATCATCTACATGTTCTCAGAAATTCAAATCTGACTTTAGATTTGACATTTGACCTTCAATGACCTTCTCAATGTCAAAAAAGGTCAAAAAGGTATTTTTTCATCTTGCTTCAAATTGACTAAAATTTTTTTTCAAAATCATCTACATGTTCTCAGAAATTCAAATATGACTTAAGATTTGACTTTAGATTTGACATTTGACCTTCAATGACCTTCTCAAGGTCAAAAAAGGTCAAAAAGGTCTTTTTTCAACTTGCTTCAAATTGACTAATTTTTTTTTTCAAAATCATCAACATGTTCTCAGAAATTCAAATCTGACTTTAGATTTGACATTTGACCTTTAGTGACCTTCTCAAGGTCAAAAAAGGTCAAAAAGGTCTGTTTTCTACTTGCTTTAAATTGACCAAATTTTTTTTTCAAAATCATCTACATCTTTTCAGAAGTTCAAATTTGACTTTACAAGTTCTCAGAAGTTCAAATCTGACTTTAGATTTGACCTTTGACCTTCAATGACCTTCTCAAGGTCAAAAAGGTCTTTTTTCAACTTGCTTCAAATTGACTAATTTTTTTTTCAAAATCATCTACATGTTCTCAGAAGTTCAAATCTGACTTTAGATTTGACATTTGACCTTCAATGACCTTTTCAAGGTCAAAAAGGTATTTTTTCAACTTGCTTCAAATTTACTTAATTTTTTTTTCAAAATCATCTACATGTTCTCAGAAGTTCAAATCTGACTTTACATTTGACAATTGACCTTCAATGACCTTCTCAATGTCAAAAAAAGTCAAAGAGGTATTTTTTCAACTTGCTTTAAATTGACCAAATTGTTTTAGGTGGTGACATTTTTTCATGTTAATGCCTTGTCTGAAAATATCGCGATTGAAGATATTCAGATTTGAATATAACTTGATCAATAAGTAACTTGAATGCTGTCTTTGCAAGCTAGCAACATGTTCTATGTTAACAACTATCAGGGGTTTCATTGGTAACAGGCAACAAGAGAAAAATAACTGTTGTTTTTTGGAATTTTACAATTCTTTCCATGATCAAATTATTATTTTGACTTGTTTTTCATATTTTTTTCTGTTGTCAGAAATTATACAGAAACCCCTGAGTATGATTAGTTATGTACATTACTAACAATGTTTTGATATTTCATATACTAACATTTAGTTTGATATAGTAGCATGTAACATACTTAACATATTTTGTTTACTATTTATGAGTTACATTGTGATTTTCTGTACTGTTACTTGTACTCAAATCATAGCAGTATTTGGTTTTCATCACGACGAACTCATTGTTCATTTCTCGATCTATACTATTGTGTTACTTATACCAAACCTCAGTCAGATTTGCCTTATCATTCGTAACCATGGTCACATAATGTAGCAGTCACACATGGGTAACTGCTCATTATATTTTGAATTAGTGGAAAATCTTAGTGCAAATCTGTGACAACCATAAAACTTCTGCAAGTATTGTAACCATAAAGCAAATGACTGAGGTTTTACTCTCTGGATTTGCCATTTCAGTTTTTGACAGAATTTACCCATAGAGGGCTTGGAAATCCAAGATGGGCCTGTGTACCATTTAGGGTTTATGGCACACATTCTGTCAACAACATTTTTGTAGCTTTAATGTCTGAATTCTTATATCTTGTTTGTTATTTTTCTTTAATCTAACATTTCTCGTGAACATTTCTTTCCTCTGTCTCTAGATACTTCCAGTTGACTGGAGTGTTCGTAGTGATGGTCTATAAAATATGCTATACTGACATTTATCGCTTTGGTATTATATACGCCATCTTTATGGGCATCTTTGTACCAGGTATGTACTAAGCTATGCTAAACAGTCAGGTGCACAGCTCCAATGCCATATATAAGTACTGTACATTGATTGAGGATCACAGTAATTTGAGTCATTTTTGGGGCTATGCATTATGCTGTAAATCATAATAACAGAGTGAAGTATATGTGGAAATGAAAAAGCGGAAATGCACCATCCTGTCTTTACATGTCTTTAATTTCTTTACTGCTAAAACTTGAATGTAATATTTTGTTTTAATGTCACATGTTTGGAGAATATCAATTCATGGTCAATGATTGAAATTAGAATTTTAAAATTGTTTCATTGAAAGAGATTAAATGTTAAAATATTAAACCACTTAAAATTATTATTGTACTTTTTTGTTAACTTTATCTGAATATGTAAGAACAAGATATTATACAGATTATATTTTGTAAAGAAAACATGAAGTGAACTGTTTAATGAAATTTGATGCTCCCTATATTTAATGCTATCTATATGTTTTAGGCTTCTACTTCCTCTTCAAAGACATCAATGTAGCTGGTAATCCATCAGTTAGTACGGATTTTACAAGCCCAGACATTGCCTTCCTTACCCTTTTTCAGATGACACTTGGGGAATTTAAGGTGAGCATAATTTGGCAAAACTAGATTTAAATAATGCTCATTCAAACACTGGATTGTATTTCAATTTTTAATTTTAAAATATTTAATTCAAATTTCCACCTCTCGGGATTTTTCACTTATTTGTGCAGTTTACAATCACCCATCCACTAATTGAAAGCATTCTGTATTAAATGCAAAAAATCTTTACCTAAAGGTAGACCAAAGGAAAGTTTGTAATCCATGATATGTTTCCAGTATGAAGAATTTGGAAAGACTCGTCACCCAATTCTAACGAAGGCCTTGTTTACGGTGTTTGCATTCCTTGTGCCAATTCTCCTACTGAACATGTTGATTGCCATGATGGGTAACACTTACCAGACTATTATATCTAAATCAGAAAAGGAATGGCGTCGCCAGGTATGTCCAAGTTTTATACAAAGGGAAGTTAAGCTGTGTTATAGGTACACTGGTGGTTCTTACACTGTAAATATGTTTTACTTTTATAGCATGCATTTATATTTCTTTATTATTGACTTAAGGGAACTCAGTACCCAAAGAACTCTGAGCTTTTTCACCAAAGTTAAAGAATCATAATATCTTGCAGCTTGTACCATATTTTCTGGAAACATTTTACATGCAGTTTGTCTTTTTAAAGTTTAAGGACTTCCTTCAAGCTGTTGAATTTACAGATATAGTTTGTATTGAAGACTATTGATGGTGCCATTTACATAATAATATTATTTTTCAAACTAGGATATATGAAATCAGAGTTGGAGACTGAGCCCTTTTAAGTTTGTTTTTACTTAGGTTTCATACTTTAATATGCCCCAATTTATAATCTTCTTTATAATATCTTCATTTACATTCTGAAATATTTTACCTTAATCGACATATTTTATTTTATTATAAGAATCAATTGTGTTTAATTGTGCTGCTATTTCCTATGCAGCTTGCATTTAATTGTACTATAATATTATTTTCGTGGCTCGTGACAAGAAGCCTGTCTTTATATAAGCAGATACTTTATGTTTTAATTATTTTACAATTTTTCAAATCCATTTAGTCTAAGTGGGTAGGTTACCAATGGAACAGATATAATGTATTTATATTGTATAGTGTTGTCATTCATTATAACATATTAAAATAAAGCAATACAATATTAATCCCTCGAGAGCTTGTTATTACGCCTAATTGAGAGGTTTATAATTGTTTTGCTAGTCCAGGGAAAATACTAACCTGTACCAACTAAATTATTTCACTTTGTACATGTATGTCAGTGATGCATATTATTTTGATGTAATTTTAAGGGAATTCTTCAAATTGAAATGTGAATCCCTTCAAAGGGAAATGTGAATCCCTTCAAAGGGAAATGTGAATCCCTGCAAAGGGAAATGTGAATCCCTTCAAAGGGAAATGTGAATCCCTTCAAAGGGAAATGTGAATCCCTTCAAAGGGAAATGTGAATCCCGTCAAAGGGAAATGTGAATCCCTTTAAAGGGTAATGTGAATCCCTTCAAAGGGAAATGCGAATCCCTTTAAAGGGAAATGTGAATCCCTTTAAAGGGAAATATGAATCCATTTAAAGGGAAATGTGAATCCCTTCAAAGGGAAATGTGAATCCCTTTAAAGGGAAATGTGAAATATTCTTAAAAATGTTTACTGGCAATGCATTCAGTATTAGAAAATATTGCCTACTCCTAGACCAACTGTACATATATACGCATTGAGATCCTAAAACATGCGTGACCACAGACTTGAATAGTTTTAAAATGTGTTAAACTTGTATTTATTGGTTCAGGTTTGCTAATTGTTGTAACAATTCTTTTTGTGCACATTTTTCAATATTTGGTGCAAGATATGGTTTTGTACTTTAACATTTTTCAACTTAACAAAACATTGTTACTTATTTTGTATGTTAAGAATATTGTCAATTGTAACATTTTCAGTTAACTTCTCCTGAACTACTGGAGAAGAATTCTGAAAAAATAAGTGTCTTTTTGATATACAGTGTATATGTTTTGAAAAACAACAGGAAATGAATCGACTGGAACATTCATTTTCAGATACATTTATATAGATGATTAAAAAGTTAAAAATACTTTGTGAAATGTAAAATTGGAACCAAAACTTTTTGTAGTTGCAGATTCTTTGTATCACAATTTTTTTAACCATTTTTACAATTTTACCAAAAAATTGTTTGTTTGTTGCAAGTTGTCTCAAATTATTTCAGCTTAAATATTGATGCAATGGGCCTAGAGTACCATATTTCAAATATTGATATGCAATGGGCCTAGAGTACCATATTTCAAATATTGATATGCAATGGGCCTAGTATACTATATTTCAAATATTAATATGCAATGGGCCTAGAGTACCATATTTCAAATATTGATATGCATGGCCCTAGACTCCCATCTTTCAAATATTGATATGCAATGGGCCTAGACTCCCATCTTTCAAATATTGATATGCAATGGGCCTAGAATACCGTATTTCAAATATTGATATGCAATGGGCCTAGACTCCCATCTTTCAAATATTGATATGCAATGGGCCTAGAATACCGTATTTCAAATATTGATATGCAATGGGCCTCGAGTACCATATTTCAAATATTGAAATACAATGGGCCTAGAGTACCATATTTCAAATATTTATATGCAATGGGCATAGAGCACAGTATTTCAAATATTGATATACATGTACAATGGGCCTAGAATACCATATTTCAAATATTGATATGAGTTTTTCATCTCTGTTCCAGTGGGCCCAGATTGTTGTAGTGTTAGAGAGGTCTTTCTCCCAGAGCAAGTTAGCTAAGTACCAGGACTCGTACGCTGTCAGGATGAGCACAAATACACCTGCATTGATGGTAATAAAGGCTTCTAACAAAACACGTGCCCGTCAGAGGAAGGGTGCAGTTAGTGCATGGAAGGTATGTCTTGGCCATTATATTTCAGCACCAAGTTTTTGACCCAAATTGTAAAATGAAGTAATTGTGTTATTGTCCTTGTAATGTATTAAAAGTCAGAAGCCTTGTATACTAGGCATAAGAAGCGTTTTACAATGCTATCAAATATGATGACATGTTCTTGCCTACCACTTTCAAAAGGTCTCATTACCTAGCATAATAGCGAATTTTGAGAAGGATTGTATAACTTTACGAGGGGACATTTAATGCCACAAGGTAATTGATGCCCCAACCCTTTGTACTCACTGTATATCTAAAAATAAAAATGCTGAAACTGAATATCCTCCATATATTATGATTTCAGCTGGCTTACAAACTAGTAAAGAAAATGAACAAGGAAAAGCAAGCAAAGGGAATTAACGGTGTTCTTGACCTTGAATCAGATTTTGTCAGAGGTGAAATTCAACGACAACAAATGCGACGACGTGCTGGCTCCATGTTTGGTGATGACGCTGGGTTCGGTGATTTGATGAGCCAGTTGGCATTCGTCAAAAATGTGAATTTGGATGTTGGTATGAACAATAATAACAGAGGAGATAGTATAGAAAATACAGACACAACTCTACTTGATGAACAAGAGGATAACACAAATGAACAAATCTCAAACCATTCCACACCCAAAAAGACAAAAAAATCTCAGAGTAAAAGTATATTGAATTTGAGTTCTCCAAGTAAAACTTCATTAGACAGAGTTCCACTTTTACCATTAGGTAATAAACGTGAAAGTCAAGATGGGTTTGATAACCCATTGTTTGATAATGATATTATTATGCATAAGGCTGATAGAGGAGAGAGAGTTGAATTAGTGGATCTACCCCACACTGTACGTAATGGTAGCCTTAAGAACCCTAGTAATCATGGGGCAAACAGTGCAAGTAAACCAACCAGTCGGATTTCAAGTATAGCACTTGAGTTGGATGACAGAGACCAAACAGGATCAAGCAGACCAATGACACGAAAGTCGACCCGTGCAGGAATGGACACTTTTCGTGAAGTAGAACTAGCTGACGCATCGGTCCCAGCACCCAAACAGACCAAACCAGGTTCTGGCGGGTCAAATGGGAGTGGTGGGAAACGAAAGAAGAAATCAAATGCAGTTGATGTTGCAAATCAAAATATACCTAAGTTTCCTAGCACTGAATTATAATGTAGATATATATAATAGGGACACAAATTATATACGTGTTTTACTCATTGGTTCTGTGTTGTTCGCAATTTGTGTTCAGTTTCAGTTAGTTATAATGTACAGTAAAACATGTTGTAGGTGAACACCTAAAAATTAAAATGAACACATCTCAATGTGGAACACTTTAAACTGATTTCAGGTTTTGGATGTCTTATCAACTTCCATATTATCAAATACGTTTGGCTTAAACCAGACCCAGCTGGTTTAACATTTGACAAACAACGGTAAATCACAAAAGATACTACATGATAGGATATACAGGATCCTTGCAGCTGAATTAATGCTTCTTTTTAGTATTACTTTTTGAGCATTGTTCTGTGTATGCACTCTGTGATAATATCCCATAATAATAAGGCAGCATGACTGGAGTTGTATTATATTAAGGTGATATGGAGGTACATGTTTATTACAAGGCATGATGATAGGACATGTATGTTACTTGTACTTATATGTTATTAAACCAAGTCAGTGTCATATGAACATCCAAAAGAACATTTTTACCTGAAAGTCTTGATTGGCTGCTCCATCTTCTGTTGCCTTCAAGTCAGGTCTTTTACATAGTTCTTCTCATTAAGGCTGTCACAATTGGAGAAGTTTACAGTTTTAATTACCAATCAGCAAGTTTTAAACCTCACGTTGCTTGGTTTTTTAAAAATGCACCGTTACAATTTACAATAGATGTTATATTGTGTGGAAAATTTGAAACTTCCGTCCATATTTACAGTGCAGCAACTATGTTATTAATCCGTCCATTTTAACATGAAAGAATATTGAAAATATTTTTTAAATCGTTTTATGTACCATTTTCTGAAGGATTTTATGAATCGCTCTATATTTATTGCCAATGACTTAACATGTAATGCATTTTAGCATGAACAGCAGAAATATATGATATACTCCCTCCATAAGTCTGAAGCAACTGGAGCTCCCCTATTGCCCCTATTGGATCGCTTACCAGAGCCTGTGTATGTTTTGTATGTTTAAGACTTATCAAAGGCATTACTATTCAGGCCTGTAGCCATGATTTGCCAAGGTGGTTCAGTTTTCAAAAAATTCCAGGGGGGTTCACATTTGACAATTTTGGCCCAAATATGGCTAGAATCACTCAAAATGGTGAAAAGCTGCATGATTTTGAAAGAATTTTTGGCCAGGGGGGGGGTTACGGGCCTGCTATTGTAACTAAAGGGCAAGATATGCTATCCAATGGGAACTTCCAGTTGCCAGACTTGTGAAGTGTAGATGTACAATTATGTACAATTTATGGCATGGATTGATTCAATGCATTTTAGAATATAATAGAAATATATTTTTTATCTTCAGATTGTAAACTTGACTAAATGAATGTTATATGCTATATTGTATGATGTTGTAATATGACCATTATGACATATGAAGTATAGACTTGAAGTCATAAATAAGGTATTTTGTAAATAGTTGTGTAAATATTAGATCATAAAGATGTATGATGTACATATTATACCTTATGAATCCTTATTATTTTATTAATTTATCTTAGTTAATAAGAAAGATATGTTGTTTATTTTAAATATTGCACTTTATTTGGTCAGTTGTAAAATATGAGTGTATTTATTGCCACTTATTTATTTGATTATGCTTATTACACATTGAATAATTATAAATACTTTATAAATTCCAAAGTACAATGTTATATGATCAAATAGTGAATAAATTTGAAATACTGTAAGTTATGTTACTATTTCTTTAAGCTGATATCTAAGTGATGATGTTAGTGCCCGCCTTGGATAGAAAGGGCCTTCAAATTCTTGAGAAAGTAAACTATGTTGCTTTGATAAAAAAAATAATACTTGTAGATGCAGAAATTTGATACAATTGAGTTTTTACAACTAATGGAGGGATTTGTACAGTAATGTTTTAAAATAGAATAATACTCTCTAAGATGGAATTCTTTCTAAGAAATAATAACATGATAATCTGATCATGAACAATTTTAGAAGTCCAACCATGGGCTTTCAACTCTTAATTGAAAGGCCATTTCCAATTCATTGCAAAAAAAGTTTCTTTTTGACACAACTTATATACTGATGTATATGATTCATAAAAGATTTTATCCACCCTATGCAGACAGAGCCTGTGGGAAATATTGGGTGCGGCGCAAATGAGCGGAGGGTGCGGAGCTAACGGTCATTTTTGAATTTAAAATTGGGACATTTCTGAAACTAAGCCGTTTTGGGACTTCAAATATACCAAGATATGTGTATTTGACACCAAATATCAATAAAGTTGTGAAAATAGTAGTGCAATTCATTTTATAGCGACGCAGTATGCCTTTAACATTTCCAAGACCTATATATTTTGAGACTATCCTTTTAATACTGCGTCCCCAGCATTCATAAAAAATGGTGTTCAAGATACACTACCCATGCAAATTATTTTTGCATCTTGGAAGCCAGGCAGTATCTGTGTGATTTTATAAAAATTCGGAAATGTTCTTCAGATATGAGCCCCCTCTAAATATTGGGTGCGGAGGTACGTTTATGGAGCTCCTCCGCTAAAACAAATAGAACGAGAAAACCAACTACTAATAAGTATTTAGACTGCTGCAACGGTTTAGGCAAGATAATGCAAGATAAAGTTAGCCTGGTTCCAAAAGCTTCTGTTCAAACTTCAAAGGCGGAGGTTTTGTCAGCAGACTCGCATAATTGACGGTAGAAGGAATTTCGGCTGCTGCTACTGTTAGATTTACTGTAAATGAAATTAGTTCCTAAGTTGCTTTCGTATTAGAATGTACCCAGAGACTGCGGTATTAGTTTTTATGTCACCACCAGAAGTGGTGACATATTGTTATAGTCTCTAACTTTGGCCGGCGTCGTGTCTGTAACAAATGGCAGGTGGTGAAACTTTGCATGTCATACCTTGTACTATAGAAGAAGCTATCCATTAAATGAAGCGCAATCATAAATAAAAAAGGGTAACTACTTTAGGATGGGATATATCCGAAATGCGCCCCGTGGACTGCCAACATAATTTTCCTATAATTTCATTTTCGCGCGTGACGACCAATGGATTCAGACACACATCGTTGCATTCTGTTTTGCAGTTACCTTAATACAATCGAGATGTTATTAAGTGCAAAAACTTGAAGTCCTTTTAAACTGTATAAAGGCTTATGCCAAAAGGTAAGCAAATATATACTTTATTTGGTAAAATTTAGACTTCATGAGGCTTCACGAGGCTACATGTAATGGCGGTCATAAGCTTGGATCATTTGGATATAAAGCAAGAACTGGTTGGCCATGGGTAGACCACCAAAGTAAGGACCTTTGATGATCTATACCATCTAACGTTACGACATGATGATGAACCAAGACATCTCGTTACTTCTTAGCCATGAGAATATTTCAAGTGAATCAAAAATGTGATGAGTCCAGAATGATTGAAGAATATGCGTACCAGGGTTATGCTGCCTTGAAGCAGAGACATATGAAACAGTATAGTATGGATGGTTACGTTGAAAAAGAATGGTAGGAGAGCAAAAGTAAACGAAGGGAAAAAGCCATGGCCCGAGGAGCCATGGCCATTTAGAAGTCCATGGTATAGCCTACCCGGAGCCTACTTATATAGCCTAACCGGAGCCTACCTATATATCCTGCAATAGTCATGACATCTTGCTTCTAGTTATGAGCGCCAGAACCAACTGTAGCTTCATTCGCCAATCGGCTACAATACTCAAACCTTTTAATCGCTTAATTTCACCAATTTTACCAACTAGCCTTGAAAAAAATACTTTTCAAAGATAAAATGCATCTTTTCCAGCTTAAACGTCTTGTAGAGGCTTTGCGATGGTGAAATTTTTCGGACGAAAAACCAAGGCGAAGGTTGCAAGTTTTGCAGTCTTTATTCTTATGTTTGTGTCAGCTTCTCTCTGGCTGTCGGATAATAACTTGCCAGGACACAATGAAAGGAACGTTGGACCACACTCACTACATAGGCGACGAGGTGCTAACGTTGGTAATCAACCCATGAAAAGACAAAAACGGAACAGTATGTATTGCTCATTTAAATGTTTTCATAGCATGCAAAATCTTCAAACTAGGCTAGTATTCATTTATCCAAAGTTTTGATGATATATTGTAGTAATTTAAGTGTTATCAATGGGTATCAGTGTTTAGTTATTATTTGAACCAAGTGTGTCTTGCACCATTTATCAGGTTATTGTACCTCTCTGGTTGTCCTTACTTCTAAGAGGACTTTTTCCAGTATTCCTATATCTAGTATTCCACAGTCCTTGAAATAAGCCTAAACAATCCTTCCAACGCACGTTCCCAAGAAATGACAGTCCCCAGATGACAATATCACGAAGACACAAAGTACAACATGCTACATACATATATTATATTATAGGCTAATGGTGGACCTTTATTATGAAATTACATTACAGTTCGAGCCGAAGGAATGGAGAGAGTGTTTTACAACAGAGTACCTAAATGTGCTAGCACAACGTTTATGGAAATAATCACGAAGCTATCCAAGAAACTGAACTTTAACTACAAATCCTCCAATAATTTCACACACGCATCACTGCGGACGAAAGAACAGGTGATATCTAGCTACAATTAAGATTCCAAAACGTGTTAAATGGCTCGCATTATAAATAAAGTTATTAATAAGTTAAACATCTCGAACAATTCATCAAATATAGTCTCATTACAGTAAAACCTGTTGTAGTGAACACCTTTGTCTAGTGAACACCTCTCTCTCTAGTGGACGCCATTTTTCCGCACATACTCTAATGTATGAAATTGTAAAAATGTCTCTTTTAAGCTTCGTTCTAATGACTTCTGTATAAGTTATCCTCTCTGTAGTGAACACCTACCCCCAGTGAACACATTTTTGTGGCTCCATAGGTGTTCACTTTACACAGGTTTTTCTGTACCAGTTTATCATTTATTTAGGTACTTGAATTTTTTAAAGAAACATTCAAATACATTTTGAAAGGCCCTCGTTCATTATTTAGCTTAAGTATTGATTATTTCCACAGTTCATTATGGAATTTTGATTGCCTGACACCAAGGCCTTTTACGCTTACTATCTTATTTTTCGCAATCAAAAATGCCGAGCATTGAGAATGAGAAATTGTAGTCTTGCTCCAAGACCCTGGACCCCTCTTATCTACTTTAACAAAACGTGTTATAAAATAGATAAGGCGGACGAGGGTTGGAGGGGGGGGGGCAGGGGTTAGAAGTAAGACTAGAGAAATTGAGACGAGAAGCTTGTATTTAACTTTGAATTTGACTCTTCGATGTTGTTTTAGGTTGACTTTGTAAAAAAGTTTGAGGGTATCGCTTCTCCTATGGTGTATGATAGACACCTTTGGTTCATTAACTTCACGATGTAAGTATTGTTGGGTAATTCCACATTTAGAGAAAATTCAAAAATATGGAAGTGCCATTTTTACATAAAACATAACAAAACATTTTGACAGTAGCTGCTCTGTGAATCAAATAAACTTTTCTATGTTCACTTGGCTGTTAATTTTCATGATATTCTTACAACCGAAATATCAAAGCAAAAAATGGTAAAACATAACTTACCACGATTATACTGATTTTTTCAGTAATAATGCATCTCATAAACCGATCACTATTTTCCTAGGTACGGGGAACCGATGCCATATTACATCAATATATTACGAGATCCCTTGGAACGCTATGCGTCACACTACTATTACCAAAGACAGATCAACCCTCTTAAAGTTGGAGTGTTTACAAAATATCAGAAAAATGAAGTAAGTAATTTTATGCCATTTGGGACATCCAAATGGGAATAAACAACGCTTCAAAAATGAGATTGTTTTCAAAAAGGTAAAATTTGAATTAAATCTAAGTACAAATAGGGTAAGTACAGGGTGGTCCAAAAAATGGGACACTTGTATTTCAAAAATAGATATTGATTTTCTTGATGAAAACATATCATATTATATACCAGTGGATAGGGAATTTACTCATCTTTAATTTGGTATATCATAAGTTCAAATTTATTATAATGTCTGTCAACCAGTGTCTATAATATAAATGATGTCATTTTCGTTTCAAAACGGGGTTTCCAAAACTTGCTAAAACCAAGTTTTATCGCATATTTATTTACATAAACAGACGTTCAATATGTCCAATATTTTGAAATACGAGCATCCAGTTTTTGGACCACCCTGTATATCTCTGTATTACTCTATGCAGTTTTTCGTCTCCAGTCGCCACTTCAGGTTCCACATTAAATATAGGCATACCTTTATCTATTTTATTTTCAGTCGCTAGAACATTGTTTAGAAACAAATACAAATGCTACCTACAAATGTGACTTCTTCCGTGGCACTTATGTGAAGTATTTCTGTGGACAGTTACCATTATGCAAGTAAGCCAAAGTCTAAATGCTTTATTGATGGTTTATAGATCGTGGCTATGTAGTTTACACCAGTTCGGTGTGTCGAGGGGTTAAGGCTAGCATACAAGATCGGTGACAATTGCGTTGTAATTGAATCTGTGCTTGAATTCTTTTCACACATAGTAAAATGTCTTTACACTATGTTTTAATCAAAAAGTGATAACGCATACCTATTACAGGGGCGTAGGAAGGTGTAAATTCAACACTACGCCAAAAATCCTGCCAAAAATATGAAACAATTGTGTCAATATTCTATATAAAAACGCCTATTTTATGCTCGTAAAATGTCATTTTATGAAAACAGAGATTTTAAGCTTGCAATGTTTTTCACAACCTAAATGTGAACGGAAATACTAAAGCGATGCATTTGTATAGGCGATTGGTCATACGTATAGGTTGGCGTTTCGATTTTATATGCAAGCTTTAAATCCCTGATACCTTTTTAATGTGCTTTAAAATGTTCGAATGATTTTCATCATTTAAAATCACCTTGGAAAGCCTATCTTTTAAATCTCGACACAAATCATTCTCACTTCGCTAATGTCTCGAACGATTGAGACGACCAATTTCCAAAACAATAAGAGATTTTTAAATAATTTTCGAATAATTGAATTTAGATATATAGTAATGTCTGATTCCATCGTGTACCGTGCAATACAATACGTACAGATTAAAGAAACTAGTTTGATCAATTGATATGAAGAAACGCATTCGTGATCAATGAAACAAAGAAACACCCCCACAACAAAGGTCAAATCGAGGTCAACGTGACTTAGGGGGTGCCAAAAATGTTATAAAGCAAGAATCTATTATTTTTCAAATGGAAAAAAAACTAGGTAATCGCTTTTCTAGAACTGAAATCAATGAAACGTGTTATTGAAGAATCAGCATTTTCAAGTTGTTTTTGTCTTTAACATTCATATTTTAAGAAGTACTACTAATAACAATTAGTGATTTAGTAAGAAAATAGATAATTGCTGACTTAACTATAATTTCTGTCTATGATTTTGCATAGCAACGGAATATAAATCGATGTAGTGAAATTGAAAAATCGGGGTAGGGGAGAATAAAAAAATATACATCTTTTAAAGAGGTTCATCATTATACTCATATGATACCATTGTTTGCATAAGCATTACGGAACATGCAGAAAAAATGAAAAAACAGTTTTTCTCTCAAATTCGTGAAGAGAACGCGATTCACGAATATTTGGCGAAATTGTATTTTACTTTTAAAATTCATAAGATAGTCTCGATTTTCATGAAATAAAGCATGTTGGTAACGGAATTCAATCTGTTAAATGATATTTGCCAGACAGACCAATAATGATATGGTATCCACAAAACATTTCTTTAGGCTAGTGTGCTCGAGATTACTTTTACAATTTATGAACAATGAGAAAATATGACTAAAGAAAATAGGAACATTTTTATTCTCACTTTTCAACACTACGCACTGGCGTTTTGGCGTACATTGTTCCTACGCCACTGTATTACGAATATGTCGTAATGCTTTTTAGTTTGTTCGTAAGATTTTTTAACTTATCATGTCGCTTACTAGGTTAAAGCATTTTCTTGCAGATATTGGTAATTTCAAAGGAGAATGTATTTGTGATATTGACAAATTAAGTAGTAATTTTGAGTCGAATAAATGTCATTACATTGATTTCCTTATACGTATGACCTTCTATCTTAAAATTGACGACAAGGCATCGCCCCATAAAATACCCGGCAGCTCCACCAGGTAATATTGACAAACGATATGTTATATTATTGAGAAACTAAGTAATTTTGAGTCGAATACATTTTAATAAATTTATTTCCTTTAAATCTTTGGTTCTATGACCTTTATTGAATTTTGAATCTTACCTGAGGTGCCATGTGTCTTGCACTTTTCATCTGCGCTTCACTCTATTCAATACCTTATATCAGAGAATTTATATTTTTACTAACGTGGATAATATCAACATTTGTTATTTTGAAAGATGTACAGTGTTTTATTTAATTATTTATTTTCTTTATTTAATTTTCACCAATCGTTTAAAATGTTTATTATTACAGGACTGTATCACAAGCTGCAATATCGAGAGCGAAGCGCAACATCATGAAATATTACACTCTTGTAGGATTAACGGACCAGTTTGAACTGACACTCGCAGCCCTTGAAAAACTTATTCCAAAATTCTTCAATGGTGCTTTAGATATTTATAAAAGTAAGTAAATGTCTCTATGTTATCCCGTAACTGTCCACTTGCCATCTGGGATTGCGATAGTGTTTCTTGAACGATGGTTGGACGATGGTTGAACGGGAGGCCGGAGGGAATACTCTTTCTTTCGTATGCTCGGTGCCAAAAGAATGTATGTAGATACAAAATTGCACTAACATGTACATCCTTTTGGCGCTGCGCATGCGCTTTGTTCTGGTATCATTTTCTCCATTGTCGATGTACTCGCAATTACATTTTGAAATTCTCTGTTGTTTGAATGTCGTACATTCCAAAAATCTCGAAGAGAGGATACAAAAAGTTAATCTTCATTACATATTTATATCTTCTTTCAGAAACTACAAACCAAAATGTCAACCCCAAAAAGAGGAAAATTTCACAAAAAGCTACAAGTATTTTACTGCCTAAATTAAAATACGACTATGAAATATATCGATTTGCAAAAAATATATTTTATAACAAAATGAAAAGATTGCAGCTAATAAAAAGTTGAATCTCTAAAAGCTTAGAAGTAAAAAATCCAAGGCAACATAGCACCGACTACAATAATATATCCTTCCTACTCAAGAGAATGAACTATTGAGAAGTGTTTTATTGCTTTTAGGGCTTTTTCTAAGAAGCAATCAAAACAACCACATCTGAACTCACTGGACAAGAGAAATTGTGATGTCAAACTCTTTTAGTTGTGATCTGATTCTTAAAAAATTAGAGCATCCTACGTTGCACGACAAAACAATGTGATGAGAGGCAGAATAAAACTGCAACTAGATATGGTTAAAATTGTCCACTGATTAGCGGACAAACTACAAAAAATATTTATTACTTTCGTTAGAAATGAAAAACTAGATTTTCGCGATAGTAAACGCACTTTTTGTCCATCTTGAATATTTTTTTGCGTAGAACTATTTAACAACATCCATCTTTCCACCAAATATTAAGAAAATCCATCCACTAATCTAGTATTCAAGTTATTTGCCGGACAGACTGACGGGGGGCTTCACTATATCCTTACCGAACTTCATTCGTTGAGATAATGATGCAGATTTGAATATTGATGCAGAGGTGTCATCATTTTCCAAAAGCAGGAGTGCAGACATCAAACACTCTGAAGGAAGGAACAGAGTCGATGATGTCAGAACCCCTGGGTTCGGAGGTTGTCGTGCCATTGACATTAGTTCGAAACAAACATGTTTGTTACATCGTACTGCATGTTCCCTGCGCATAATGGGCATGATGGGGTAGGAATTGTCACAGGTGGCTTCTGTACAACTAGAACTAATACAAATAATGCCATGGCCCGTATAGTGTATTTACGGTCGATCGGTTCTTTTGTCAACGAGGCATCAAAAATCAGCTGTATTTTGTACATAAGAAATAAATAACTTGAGTTTATATACTTATAATTGTAAGTTTTGTATATTACTTATGGAGTTGCCAATTTCCCCATGAAAAGAATAGCATTAGAACGGTTGTCTCTGATGAAGAATATAAAGGGGTGGTCGCAGCGAAACGTTGGAGTAATATTAAAGCGTGCACATTGAAGCTGGCAAACCACGGCTGTTGCAGCTGCTGCTTCGCTTCCCTCTTCATTCACCTCAACAAATGCTTTGTGTAGAACTTTGGATACGTATAGCTCTTTAGTTCCATTAATACCAGAGAGGTCGGCACTTCCCTCTTGGAAAAGCTGCTTCATCCCCAAGGTTGTTAGAGAATTTCCAAGGTCAAAACTTTGCTCCATCTTGAATCTTGGTAGGGACACGTCCACTTCCATTTTCCATCCTCGAACTTGATAGCAGATTGTTTGAAGAATGTCTATTGATAGTTTGTTTTCCAGTTCAGATATGCCATTCTTTTCGTCAGGAAGAAGAATGATCATACTCAGCTTGTTGTTAATGTAAGGTAGTTCAAGGACTTTCGATTTCAGATCTGGGAGAGATTCCATGTAAAACGAAGAATTAATATTCATCATATCAAATTTTACTTTATTAGTGTCACTAATGTGGAAATCGACATCATTTTCGGTATTGTAACGTTTGAACTTAGTAGCCCAGTCTCCTTTAAAGTAAATTGCATTGATCAAAACCAGACACGTCAGAGCATCCAACACCCCACCGGGAATCAGGTCTTTGATTTTATTTGCAGTTTCTGCTTCAACCCATCTATTGATATTTTGTCGAATAGCTTCAGCGTCTTTAGCAAAGTTGACTTTTTCAATGTCAGCAATGTAATCAGTTTGAATCATGCTGATGAAATCTTGGAGGAACGGATGGTCATCTTTGGCATATATTTTATTTGCCATATTTAACTGGTAATCGGCACTTGGTCGGGCACCAGATTTCATCATATCGATAAGTTCTTCTTTGGAATATATTTTACCTTTCATATTTAACTGGGGGCTTGGGGATTTCAGCGAGCCAAGTAGCTCTTTGAATGTACAATGAATATTCTGATTTAGTGGTGCCAAGTGCATGACTTCTTCCATTTCGGACGTGGTCAAATCACGTGATCCTCCGTACGTCATGCTAAGAGCGGTGAATATACTCAGTGGAGAAAAGAACACGTTCTTTCTTTCACTCTGAAAATATAGAAAGAAACGGCAATGTCTCTCCTCACTTTAATACTATGTTAGGCGATATATTCATCTATCGCTTACATGTAAATAATGCTATCACTGACGCCAACGCCATATAACCAGGCGTTTGACTGAAGTTGGAGGGTTGTATTTGTGTTATCCTTGTTCATTTAATCTCGTTATGTGTTTTTTATATTTATTTTCCACGTTCGTACTCGTGTATATTATATGTACCACTTGTTAAGAAACAACAATAAAAAGCTACATAAACGACAAACAGATAAAATCAATTTCACACGCCAATAGACTTCACCTTTATCGTGTGTTGGTACAGATCGAGCGCAAAATGATTTATCGCTTTGACCAGACTTTCACCATGGGCATGGTCTTTGAAGCAAGAGTCGGGTAAGATGGGTGCTTGTGTGGCCATTCTTGTGTCCAGTCTAAAAATGTAAACATAATGTTTAACCTCAAGTATTTGATATGATCGAGACCAGATCCTTTTGCAGGAGTATCAGAAGCTCAATAAATAGGGCCGAATTATTATTAAGCTCATGACACTACCATAAAACAATCTGGCTTGAATCTATGATCAGACCATGGCATAATTATGGTCGTAATATTATTCTAGGCCGAGAAAATTGTAATAGTCTACTATTATGGCATATAATTCCAATGTGAAGTAAGAAGTTCCAGGGAATGGGTCTATGTCAAACAAAATATAAGTAATTTATATATATATATCAGTAATCAAGTCTGGTAAAAGACTACAAACTCACCTTCTCACCACTTTTTATAGGTAAAATTCTTGTCTGGAACCCGGAACTAAACCGGAAGTTTATATTGGGAAAACAAATAATCAATGCTCCTGTTTCTATTCTAAAATACACCCAGGTGGCTCCACACACAGATCCGGAGCCAGAGATCCAGCCCCTATTGGTAGTAGGCTCAAAGGATAAATGAGTATATTTATTGAGCCAAGACACGGAGGAGCTTATCTGGCAGAGGTCCGTGGCTCCACACGGGTTTGGAGATATCGGCACATTTGAAAGTGGGGCCAGAAGGCGTTGGGCGTGGGGGCTTCAAGTGGTACCGTTGGAAAGCTGACTGTGCCTGACTTTTATTTCCAGTAGTAACCATTTTCGAAATTGTAATACAAGTAGTTTGAAAAGCGTCCATGATGACTGCTCGTTGGTTACCATATTCTATGGCCAGAGTGTGGCCAAGAATTGGCTAGAGACTCGAGTCGAACTCGTTGGTAACGAAGAGTAGGAGTAAAAATGTTAAACATTAGCACTGACTGAATTTTGAACTACATATCACCTTTATATTTACAATAGCATTATAGTGGTAAACAGACTTAGTGCCAATGGTAAACTGTTTATGTAGAATTCAATTGCACATTTTCACATCAGTGTGATTCCTTTGAACCGTTAAAACCCCGGGGTTAAAACGCCCGTCACGTTGTTTTAAACTGCAACCACAATTTTTATCATTTTCAGTTGTCATATGAACACAACAGAATTCGATGCTGTTACGTACACGTGCGTAATGTTCCCATGATTCAAAATAAAAGTCACAAACATGTGATCTTTAAAGTAACGTTAATGTAAAGCCCATGATGTATTTTTTACCTATAATAATCCCGGGTTAACGTTTGACAAGACAACGCAATTTTACAAACCGATACGCTACGTGCATTTATTGAACGTTACCTAATATGGATAACTACAATTTAAACATACCATTAGAAAGCTATTGCAGTCGTATATTACCCTTTGCATTCGTTTGACTTCACTTCTTAAAAGAGAGCTTCGTTTAACTAGACTCTGCACGCAGGGTAGTCATATATGTCATTTTTACCAAAATTAAATTTCTCGTCAATAAGGCTATGTTCACACCAACGGCGCTTTGATGGCGCTTTAATGCGGCGTGCAAAGCGGCTTTGCACGTCCCATTAAAGCGCCACCAAAGCGCCTTTGGTGTGAACGTAGCTTTAACTGAGAATCAAAGTATCAAATCTAACGTATGAATGGTAGGCTTACCCCCGCGAGACAATGAACCATTGGTACTGACGACTTGAACAACAAAGATCGTTGTTGGTGCGAACGTTTCAAAATGACAATGGTAACTGTTGTAGACAATGGCATAAGAACTAACATGAAAAATACAAATGATTACTTTCTGAGCTAACTTGAAGCTGATCCGCGAATACAAGTTGCAAGTATTATATATCAGACCACAATATATTTTATTTAAATATATTTTAATTAGCTTTATTTTTGAATATAATATTGTATTGGAATTAATCTCATTTTACTAAATAATGACTGTAAGTATGGATCTAAATTATTAGTCTCCAGTTTATTGTGAAAAGGAGGACGTTATGGACTTGCCAATTTCCCCATGAAGAGTATAGCGTTGGATCTATTGTCCTTAATAATAAACATAAAGGGGTGATCGCAACGGAAATCTGGTGTAGGAGCGGGCATGCAACGCATTCTCATCACCACGGCTGTTGCAGCTGCTGCTTCGCTCCCCTCTTCATTCACCTCAACGAATGCCTTGTGTAGAACTTTGGATACGTATAGCTCTTTAGTTCCATCAATACCAGAGAGGTCGGCACTTCCCTCTTTGAACAGCTGTTTCATCCCCAAAGTTTTTAGAGAATTTCCGAGGTCAAAACTTTGTTCCAATTTGAATCTTGGAAGTGCTACATTCACCTTCATTTTTCTTCGTCGAACTGGATTGCACACTGACTGTAGAATATCTACTGTTAGTTTAGACTCAAGCTCAGATATGCCATTTCGTTCATCAGGAAGAAGGATCACCATGCTCAGCTGGTTGTTAACATAAGGTAGTTCAAGGACCTTCGTTTTTAAATCTCGAAGATATTCCATGGGGAATTCAGCTTGAAGATTCATCATGTCAACTTTAACAACATCTTTGTCACTCATGAGAAAATGCGCATCGTTTTCGGTATCATCGTGTTTGAACTGAGTAGCCCAGTCTCCTTTAAAGTAAACAGCATTGATCAAAACCAGACGAGTCAGAGCATTCAACACCCCACCTGGAATCAGGTCTTTGATTTTATTTGCAGTTTCTGCTTCAACCCATCCATTGATATTTTGTCGAATAGCTTCAACGTCTTTAGCAAAGTTGACTTTTTCAATGTCAGCAATGTATTCAGTCTGAATCATGCTGATGAAATCTTGGAGGAATGGATGGTCATCTTTGGCATATATTTTATTTGCCATGTTTAACTGGTAATCGGCACTTGGGGATTTCAGCGAGCCGAGTAGTTCTTTAAATATACAATGGATTTCCTGATTCAGTGGTGCCAAGTGCATGACTTCTTCCATTTCGGACGCTGTCCTGTCACGTGATCCTCCGTACGTCATGCAAAGAGCGGTGAATATACTCAGTGGAGAAAAGAATACATTTTTGCTTTCACTCTGAAAATATAAAAAAGAATGAGTTCATGGGTTCATGGGTTTTTCTCACACACAACAGTAATAACTGCAGAGGCAGTAACATATTATGGAGGTTAAGCTGCACGTTTTTAAAAGATAACACGATTTTCAAAAAACGTGTACATGAACGGAATTGTGGCCCTCTATGGGTTAGTTCTCCCACTTCACACTACTATACCTAACACCTAGAAATGCATAAGATACTTTGTTTGTCTAATTGAATTGTTTAATATATTTTTGAAAGTGCCTTACTAGCATCTAATTTTCAACCGATAAACCATTCATAAGGAACAGACAAATAAAAACAAATACATAATCATTACTAATAAGCCAAATGGGTTGCTCATGAACACCTAATGCAAGGTATAGTAGTGTGACTTCACTTGGACGATTGAGAAGGAAAATACTGGAAAGGTGAATTGAGAGCGCGTAGTGTAACTTAACCCGGTAACTTAACCTCCTTAATTTGTAGAATTATGGTCTTCTATCTATTGGGATCATTTCATTTTCATGTTCATATATTAATAATCTTATACCATTATGTAAGATGTAAGATGTGTCTCCTTTTGATAAAAGGCAATAAAGATATACATGCACATTAGATTTTACATGCGTTTACCTTTATCGTGTGTTGGTACAGATCGAGCGCAAAATGGTTGTTCGCTTTGACCAGACTTTCACCATGGGCACGGTCCTTGAAACAAGAGTCCTGTAAGATGGGTGCTTGTGTGGCCATTCTTGCGTTTCTCCTAAAAATATAAACACAATGTCTAGCCTAGCCTCTCTTCTTGATATCTCCTCTTAACTTTGGTGGAATAAAACGAATATTGGCCGTTGTTGATATACTTTTTGATGATTTACGTTAACTACCTAATAGTCTCTCTGCGCTTGCTGTGTTCTTTGTTTCTAGATTCTGTGTACTAATAGGCTGTGCGCTTCTTCAATTTTCAAAATCACTTCATAAATTAAAATTAATTTAATTGAATAATAATGTTTCATATAATTGTTTTAAAAATCTTCCAGTGCTTTTGATGAACCTTATAAATCTAAGTCACTGTAGTGAGTCTTCTTGCGCTTATCCAGGAGGTGTATAGGCCTATAGTTTCTACGTCAGACAGGTTTGTCGTGATCTCTAAGTTTTATGACACCAGTGACTGATCACTAATGTGTACTCCCAGTGAAAGGTTGAGTGTACTACAAACAATCAGTGATGATGCGTCAGATATCGAAATATTGCTTGTTTTTGATATGCAGCCAAATCTTCCTTACCAAGTACAACGTGGAATGATACTTGACAGTGACCCAAATATGTACTAATTTAATCCACAATTTATGTAAAGAGAAAATTGACCCTACTTCAAAAAAGTTTATTTGAATATCCTATGTCTTTTAAGTTTTCAAATAATTATGTGATGCATTCAGACAAATCTAGGATGAAGAAGTAGGCTACAACCATAGGGAGAATGTCATCCCCCTCTATGATTCATATAAAGATGTATGTTATCGACTCGGATCGCCGGGGGGGGGGGCACTGCCGGAGGGGGGCTTTATAACAAGATTGATGCGATGCTGCAGCAAAGTCTGATTTATAACAAGGTATTGAACCCTTGAAAAATTATGAGCAACCAAGGGAAACATAGTCGTGACCAGGGAGTTGGGACCACAGTAAATCAAACAGTTCAAAGTTCGGACCAGTGATATTAGCAGCAACAAAAATGGCATATAATTTCAATGTGAAGTACCAAGGAATAGCTCTATAATAAACAATATAAAGGTGTTTTATATATCAAAGTATTATGTATCAATGCTAACTCACCTTGCCAGCGCTTTTTACAGGTCTATCAACAGCTCTGAAGTCTGAAGTCTGAAGTCGCATCAATTTTTTTCTGTGCAACCAGGAAGTAAACCGGAAGTTTCGATTGGAAAAATAAATAATGAATGCTCCCGTCTCCATATTGAAAAAGCGTGCTTCCTTTAGTTTGAAGTTTCGAGAACAATTTTGCCAATATGAAGATTGAAGAGGTAAAAAGCACTACAAAAACCCAGCGAATCGCTTCTCATAGTCATATTAAAGGTATAGGACTTGATGAAAATGGGTACGCTATCCAGTCAGCCGCAGGATTGGTCGGACAAGAGTTGGCGCGAGAGGTTTGTTTTTCGAATTTTTAAAATTTGGCTTGTTTTTATTCATGTTGTCCTGAATTCACGAATTTCTGTGTGATTAATCCTAATTGTCATTTACAGGCCATACGAATTCACGGCCTCTGGACTGAACCTGGAATGAGAGAGTTAATCCCAGACCAAACACTCAAGATGTAGGTCTTGTTGTATCACGATCAGAGGTTTCTGAACACAGCTGGCCACTCAGGCCATGAAAACAATTCTAACGATATTTAAGAAGATAATTGAATGTAACTTACCCTTTTCATGATGCCTGGTGACAATTAGTTCAATGTCGTTTAACTCAATAACAGCGTTCTTTACTATTAGGAATTTTCTTGGCTATTATTGAGTTTAACCTCCTTACTATTCTTTCCTTTATTGCAAGTTCTGGATCCATCAAAACCATTTTTTCCGCAATATCATGCAACTGATACTTGACAATATTATAAAAACACATAACATCAAGCGATTTAACACAATATTATTGTGTTAAATGTTCATTTATACTAGTAAAATGAGGCTACACTTACCAATCTCCAAAATGACATTTCCGCATGTCCGTCATTGTGTCTGTTCGTCCGCAGGTGTCCCGGATTAAAATTAAACTGTTAGCGAAATGAAATTGTTGTCAAATAGATTGATAATTATTATGGCGATTACTGGGGATAAAAAGATCAATTTTGAGGATAATAGGTATCTTTGATTGATTTATATAGCGCGTGTATACACGCATAAATAGTTATTAATCGCAAACCTACTGTTTGTTAATGCAGTGCCACAATGACGGTTAATTTCTGATACGATTTGCAATTTCGATGTTACAAAGACTGACCGACATTTTCGTTATGTTCCAAACCTGTCTCCAATATTTTTGTAATTATGCATCAATGGGGTCTAAGGGGGATAGGAGATGGTGTGTATGTATTCATAAGGTATGTATGCATACTTGAATCACATTCTTTATGCAATATTACCATGTTTTCAGGGTTTAATTAGTTCCTCTTGTCGAAATCTGCGGAACGATTAAATTAACGCATCAAAGGCAAAATGATCATGGAGGTTAGACCTAGCCGGGGCCATAAGACATGTCAGATAAGAAACGAGGCCCAGGTTAGGCCTAATGTTGTTGGACTAGGTGACAATAAGTCCTACTTGTTGTGTAATTTGCAGTTAAGGTCAGGGTGTATGATGGGAAATTTTCTGCATTCCTCAATACTCCTATTCGCGATAAGAGTTCAGGTGGTAATTTACATAGATATCTCCCATGATGCATCGCTTTGGAAGGGACAAATTTTCATTGGCCCGCCGAACGAGTCGAATACTCTGAACGTTTCTCAGCTTCTGATCTTCCATCAGCCCTCAAGCATAGTTATATGATCCAATCTATTGAATAATCAGAAAGATAATCGGAGATTCAAAGTAACATTATTGATATTTTTTTGATCTTCGATGAAGTCTGAGCAATTTCTGGGAAATCAGTGACGTCACTGGAATTGGACGGCATTTTCAACTACAGATTTCTTCGGATTTGGGGATTACAGTTCATAAAGCCTTGTATTATATCTTAATTATCCCAACGAACGAAGTTCGTTAGGGATATAGTGAAGCCCTCCGTCCGTCCATCCGTCTGTCCGTCAGTCCATCAGTCAGTCAGTCAGTCCGTCCGTCTGTCCGGAAGATAACTCAAATACTAGTAGACAGATTCTTTTACGCAAAAAAAATTTTTCAAGATGGCCGCCGCTTTAAAAATGACGGGACTTTTTCGCAAAAATCATAAATTTTTCATTCTAAACCAAAGTAATTAATATTATTGTTTGAAATTTTGGTAGTGTATTCACAACATTTATCTATTTCACATATATTCTGTGTTTTTCATCCTGACCCCCAGGGGCCATGTATGGGGGGACAGGAAAACAGAAATTTTCGCTAATTTTTAGATCTTTCTGAAGTATAGCTTTATTATACTCAAATGAAAGGCAATTAAGAGTAGATTGCAAATATTGTATCTTTTTTCTGATTCGAGCCTCGTAAAATTCAAAATGGCCATCTAATGTACAATTTCGCAATAATTTTTCGATCCCTTCAAAGTATGGCTATATTATACTCAAATTGAAGGAATTTTGGAGTAGATCACAATTATGGTATTATTTTTCAGATTTGTACCTTAGAAAATTCAAAATGGCTGCTTTGCAGGAATTCGCAATTCTAAAATCTAATTTTTTCATTTTCAACCAAAGTAATGAGTATAATTGATTGGAATTCGGTAATTGATATTTTGTTCGTTGGGATTTGCTACTCCGCGGAGTTGCCGTTATCTAGTTACATACATACCTATAATTTGTGCAAATGCAACTCTACATAAATGTTTAATAGAGTCGCAGTGCGGCATTGAAAATAGCACCCCTGTGTAAGCCAATGGGAAAGAACCCGGATGTAGACAACGTTGTACCATACATGAGAGCTCTTCAAACGAGAGTTAACTAAACTGAACGAAAACTAAACGTTATCGCGTATTGGTATATTGAGTCACATGTTATTTTTCAAAAAAGAATCACTCCTTCCCCACATTGTCTATACCTTTCAGTTTTGCACAAAGAGTGCACTTATGTGCCTAGAAAAGACTTGTTTGTGATCGCTAATGACAGAGACATCTTTTTTTCCTTTGCCAAGAAAACACTTATCCGATGGCCAACATATTTGAATGCCTATGAAATATATTATTCATGTACTTCAATGAACTTCTGCATTTAATATATCTTTGTGTTTATATTCCAGGCAGCAGGAATTGTTGTTGAATTGATCAGATCTAAAAAGATGGCAGGTCGAGCAGTTCTTCTTGCAGGACCACCAGGAACTGGAAAGGTAAAGAGATTCATAGTGTTGAGCATATACTATATCAAACCTTCCTACCAGAATATATAGGTTTTACTTCGTTCAGTTTTAAAATATGCTTTTCAAACAGCTGAGCTACAGGCTCGTAGCCAGGGGGGGGGGGGGTTTGATGGGTTTCGAGCAAAGAATCATGTAGAATCCTTTATAGTCATCATGGTCTGCCATTGTATATAGTTTAAGAATATGATCATTGTCACTGATTGATGTATATTTCAGACTGCTTTGGCTCTTGCTATTGCCCAGGAGTTAGGCTCCAAGGTGCCTTTCTGCCCCATGGTTGGAAGTGAAGTCTACTCCACTGAAATCAAGAAGACAGAGGTCCTCATGGAAAACTTTAGAAGGGCTATTGGTATGTGCCCTAATATCATATTATATGTTATAAAAACGTAATTGTGAAAAAGGCTCATGTAACTTACGTGAATAACTTACAGTTTAAAAGGTTTCTTTCTCAACTTCCTCCATCTTTTACACTTCAGCCACTTTATAGTTATCCCAACAAACGAAGTTCAGTAGGGATATAGTGAAGCCCACCGTCCGTTGTTCATATTTGGTGGAAAGATGTATACACTGAACGCTTTTATCCGGTCCCAATGGCATTCGGATTAGACAGGTTTTACTGTATTGGTGAATAGTTTTACGCTTTTCAAGATGGCCACCAGTTTAAAAATGGCTGGAATTTTTCGCAAAAATATTATGTTTTTCATTTTAAACCAAAATAATAAATTATTATTTGAAATTTTGGTAGTACAGTATATTAACAACATCTATCTATTTCTAGTTTTTCACCCTGACCCCTAGGGGCCGTAAATCTGTTGGGAAAACAGGAATTTGCATTAATTTTGAGATGTTTTTGAAGTATAGCTTTATTATACTCAAATAAAAGGCAATTTAGAGTAGATTGCAAATATTCTAGCGTTTTTCTGATTCGGGCCTCGAAAATTCAAAATGGCCGCCTAATGAAGGGATTTCGCAATTATTTTCTGATCTCTTAAAAGTATGGCTATATATTACTCAAATTGAAGGAATTTCAGAGTAGATCACAATTATGGCATTGTTTTTCTGATTTGTGCCTCTGAAAATTCAAAATTGATGATATATTGTTCGTTTGGATTTGCTACTCTGTGGAGTTGCCATTTTCTAGTTCAATATCTATTCTTAATTCTACAATGGGACCACTCAAAATCATGAATCAGATAAACTAACAGAACAAATATTTGGACACTTTTGATATGTTCTGTGAAGATCTTCACTGGCATGACACACCACATAGTAGTAGGACGGACCAATAATCATTTGTATCCAATGTGTGTCATTACCACTTTGGAAGTCGAAGATGCAATGGTATTTCACTTCTTTTCTGAGCTGTGCAGTGAAGCTGAAGGATGTTTGAAATTTATTTCTTAGCAAAGATAGACCCTGTCCAGTAGAGGTGTCAAGTATTAACCGGTTAACCGGTTAACCGCCGATAATGCCTTGACCGGTCTGAGTTTTTATGGGCAGTTAGTTGACCGTGTATAATTCTGTTATTTCCCGCGCTTATTTTGCATGCTAATCCGTCTGGTTTTATGGTGTCAGTTTCACGTAAGCTACTCATACATGTCATAAGTCCTATAACTCCTCACAAACATCCAATCAGCAACTTAAATCCCTGCCACATTGCTTTCCCGCGCTTACTTTGCATTTTAATCTGTTTGTTTTTCAAGTGTCAGTTTCATGTGAGCTACTCATACATGTGATAGGTCCGATAATTCCTTACAAACATCCAATCAGCAACTTTAATCCCTGCCACATTGCTTTCCCGATTTTACTTTGCATTTTAATCTGTTTGTTTTTCAAGCGTCAGTTTCATGTGAGCTACTCATAAATGTGATAGGTCCGATAATTCCTTACAAACATCCAATCAGCAACTTTAATCCCTGCCACATTGCTTTCCCGCGCTTACTTACATAGAATAGCGTAAAGCTTGACGAACGTAAAAAATAAACGCCGATATATCATTTTTCCAATTTTTTTCAACTTTCGATCGAAGATGAAGATTTCATTTGAAATTATAAGTTCAAATTTCCCGCCGGTTAACCGACTTTAACCGGTAAAAACCCCGGTTAACCGGTTAATGCTCAAGCGGTTAATTGACACCACTACTGTCCAGAAAGTACATTGAATGAATTATGATAGATCATTAGCAGCCTCTGTTCCCTTTACAATTTGGGTCAAGTCAATCCTTCTTATATTGTTGAAATAGTATTGATGTGCATTGCTTTATTCTTCTTGTAGGGCTGCGTATTAAAGAAACAAAGGAAGTGTATGAAGGAGAAGTGACTGAGTTGACACCCTGTGAAACAGAAAATCCAATGGGAGGTTTGTACTTTTTAAATAAGCATCTGTTGCAGCATATCATTTCCTTCATATTTGATTCAGTTGTTTCAAAATGAAATTAAATCACTCAATTTGAAATTACCTACGACCTAGAATGAAATTAAAATCCAGATGGAGATTGGTTTTTACTTCAGTTTAGGATTACAAAATCAGAATATTTTGAGCATTTTTAATCAGATCAAAAATATGAAATTCCCACATTCATCTTGAATTGGACAACAAAAATATTCATATTTTCTCATATTCCAGGTTATGGGAAGACTGTGAGTCATGTTGTTATAGGACTGAAAACTGCCAAGGGCACCAAACAGTTGAAACTAGACCCTTCAATATATGAGAGTCTACAGAAAGAAAAGGTTGAAGTAGGAGATGTTATATACATAGAGTCCAACAGTGGGGCCGTCAAGGTATGTACTAGAGGAATCACCAATGCATAAATTGACAATGAATAAAGAGAAGGTTTTTACGTCACCACCAGAAATGGTAACATCTTGTTATAGTTTCCATCTTTTTTGTTGCATTTTGGATTCGGCGTTTGTAACAAATTCTTACCACTTCAAATCACTTGCATCCTCCTAAGCAGGTATCCAGAATCCGTACCTCCTTCTTCCCCCTGCTATAACCAATTTGCAAGCGGCCGATTAAATCGGAATCATGTGATCTAAAATTATGCACAATGACTTATACATGATTTCTGTCGCAGTGTTGCGACAGCCAATCAGATTGCGAGTTCTTAATCGGGGAAATGCTAACTGCTTATCGCAGGGGGTAAAAAGAAAGAATATATTCTGGATTTTGAAGCCCTGTGATCGGAGGATGAATCACTTGTGGTGACATTTATCATGTAAATTAGAGAAGGGTCGGTTACGGTTCGGTTCGATTAACCGCGGTTTTTGGCCTCACGGTTCTACTGGGACCGTCTGATCACCAAGAACCGAGTCCAAAACGGTTCCATCATTTCCGGGGAAATACTTTATTTTCGTGCAGTGTAACATGAATACGAAATTTTTGCGCAAATAATTACAGCTCTATTTCATCTAAAAAGCGAATGAAAGTACCATTTAAACGACAATTGAACAACTTTAAACGATCCATACGGTAATAAAATCGTTTCCTTGGATATTTCATTGTTCTTCCACGTCTCGAGGGAACATAATTCTACTTGCCAGCGTAAATTTATTTCGCGCGGAAACACTTGTGTTTTAAAAATGGCGGACAGTTTTCGAAGTTGGCAAAGAGCTAGTAAAACCATAATAGAGCCTTTTCCCGCGATGCCTAAGTTGGATGCTTGGAAGTATTTGGTTTCTACGATGAGAATACGTCTACCCTATGTCGGTTGTGCAACACGACATTGAAATACGCTGCAGGTTTCCAATTTTTGTGATAGAAACTTTTTGTAAATTTTTTTAATTTTAAAAATTAAGACCGCAATCTTTATTAGACTTCAATTCATTCCCTATCTTGTAACTGCCTCCTATTACCTACTCATAGTAACATTTTTTATGACTGATATATACACTTTTTCATGTGTCCTACCTCAGGTCCCAAGTCAGGTTGAGAATTTGGGTAAACACCCCCTAGCCCACTGCACTGTTATTCCCAACTGAAGGACATCTGTGCTATCCATATAATTTTAGTTTTCAAGAAACACACTGTCTGCCATGAGGAAACATATTGAAAGGTTTTACCCAACCAGACCCAGTTTAAAAAGGAATCCCTCCCATCTAACACGGGGCAAGCAACTTGTTGATAGCCACATACAAATAGTTCAATTCTAGTTATTTAATTCCATAAATATTCAATGATTATCAGCTATCATCATTCCATATTGATCATTTATAAGATTGAAAAAAAAATTATATCCCCTAATAATACAAAATAAAAGTGAAACACCTTTTTATGTTGCCATATTTGTGGCACCAATTGCAATTTATGAGGCCCACCTTATTAAGTATATGATTTAAGAACCGACTGAACCGAGAGACAAGAACCGAGAATCGTACCGAACCGAACCGAACCGTGACTGACCCTTCTCTAATGTAAATGCCTTGTCACAGTATATTAAGTTACTATTACTGTTTATGTTATGTTTACAATACCAAGGTAGATCATTCATAAATGAATTAAATTAGCCCCTATATTTTGTATGTTATGTTTACAGCGCCAGGGTAGATCAGACACATTTGCTACAGAATTTGATCTGGAAGCTGAAGAGTATGTTCCCCTCCCTAAAGGTGATGTCCATAAGAAGAAGGAGGTGATTCAAGATGTAACATTACATGATCTGGATATTGCTAATGCACGTCCTCAGGGTGGCCAGGACATCATGTCTATGATGGGGCAATTGATGAAGCCTAAAAAGACTGAGATTACAGGTGAGTCATTTTAGTTTACTGTACAACCACCCTCAACTACATGGTTGAGTCCAATTGACTTTGACCTATTGAACATAGGGTTGGATATGAAGTTCACAACAAAAGTCATTTTTCTCAAAGGATGATTTTATAATGGCACTATCAGAAGTGGTGACATATTCCTATCGTCTCCAAATTTGTGGATGATGCTAGGTGGTTGGTGTCTATAACAAATCGCAGGTGGTGATGTCTTGCATATTAATGCCTTTTACTAACTTTATACTAATTTTGTCCATTTTCAGATAAGCTGCGTAAAGAAATCAACAAAGTTGTAAACAAGTATATAGACCAGGGTATAGCAGAGCTCGTACCGGGAGTGTTGTTCATAGATGAAGTCCACATGTTAGATATAGAGTGTTTCACCTACCTACACAGGGCCCTAGAGTCAACTATAGCTCCCATTGTCATCTTTGCAACAAACAGAGGGAAATGTTTAATCAGGTACTATCTAGTTTCATATGATGAAAAATGCATGTACATGTTATGATGTTTATACTGGTGCAGCCTTAAATAATTGGTCAGCTTTAGGGAAATTCAAAATATAGTATTTTACGTCCATGGTAACTCTACTAAGATTCATAGCCTTAAAACATTGTTATAATTGTGTATCTCAATTTTAAGACTAAAACTATACATTTACTATGTAAAACTACTTAATATTAATTGAATAAAACTGTATATTTTAGAGGAACAGAGGATATAATATCAGCTCATGGAATGCCTTTGGATTTGTTGGACCGTATCATGATCATCAGAACCCTTCCATACTCACAGGAGGAAATGACACAGGTATGATAATCAATAGATGATGCTTGATCTAAGTGATATATCTTATATAAGTTGTTGTGATAATTTTCGTCAGTAAGTGCTTGTGGGAAAATTATATACTAAAGACATGACATAGTTTGTGTAAAAGAGTGTGTAGATGCAATGAAATAGCAGTTCCACCCCTGAACTCCAGCCCATTACCAGCATTTGCCAGGGTTTTTCACATTTGACAATTTTGGCCCAACAAAATCATTTGAAATGTGCTTAAAATGGTGAAAAATTACTTGATTTTGAAAGAATTTTTGACCTGAACCCCCTGAACATTATTTCAGTGTCCTTTTCAAAAAGCCAATCAACTGTAATGGACTACCCTTTCATGATTAAAGGTATAGCATTGTGTAACTATTGTCCAACTTTCGTTGTAGATCTTAAAGATCAGAGCTGAGACTGAGAATATTGAGATCTGTGAAGAATCTCTGCAGCAACTTGGTGCTATTGGCACTAAAACTACACTCAGGTAAGCGTTGTGGTCCATGTCCAAATAAGGCAATCTTTTCACGAGAGTTGCTTGTTGAAATTGTTAGAATGAAAAAGGAACAAAAGGACAATTGTATACATGCTGGGTTCTCCCCAGAATCTAATTGCATGGCGCTCCCCCCTGCTCACTCGTTTTCCCCGCCCTGTTCCCCCCCCCTGCTTGCTTCGCCCGCCCTGCTTAGCACCCCGCTACTTCAAAACTTACGTACATTATTTTATTCTCCTGGATATTCGACGAAATCACATAAAATTCAAAAAGTTTTCAAAAAGTTTTTCCTGATTTGCCATTCCGAAGGCCGAATCTTAAATGTCTTCTGATTGGCTCAAAGCTCATGATTAGTTACGAAATATCCAATCAAATTATCTATTACTAATCGTGCGTCATAGACATAATCTGCCCCAGGTTCGGTTCAATCACTTGATTTGACTACGTATGCGCATGCGCCCAAAACATTCTAACCTATCAAAATCGTTCATTTGATGCGTGTTCAGAAAATTAGAAATTAACAGTTGAACCTGGCGCAGATTACCCCTATACTGCAACGCGGAGTGATATGATCATCGATCATCAAAATCGCCAATTTGGAATAAAACAAACATAAAAAACGACTAAAACTACAATTTGAAAACAAACATAAAAAACGACTAAAACTACAATTTGACAATGAAGTATTATTTTTTATAAATAGTTATTATAATTGCGAACGAATTAATGTTCAAATCTTGCTTTTGATGGTTGTCATGATAAAGAAGTTCGACTTCCGGTTCTTTATGCGGGAAACTCAAAAAAAAAAAAAAATGGGTAAAATTAAAAAGCCCAAGCGTAAAGGGAATAAATTAACGCTTTCACAGTTCCTTGCAAGAAGGAGGTGGTTTGACATGCACCCCAGAAGATGTAGGGACAGAAGACTTTAAGGAAACACAATGAACACTCATGACCTACAAGCATATTATCATGTATTGTTAAATAAAAGGTTTTCTAAATGAGATTTGGTGTTTATATACATTTTGTAAGTGAATAGTACCCCTATGGGAGCTGCTGTAGTACATTTGACAATGACCAAGGACACGATCGAAGCGAGCGGCAAAAATTGGCCCAAAAATCGAGCGAGCGAATCGAGCGGCGAAACTTGTTAAAAAATCCCCCCTGCTATGAAAAAATCCTGGGGAGATCACTGACATTTGAAACATATTTACATCTATGACAAAATCAGTGATGAAAATGATAAGATTAGTATTTTGGGGTAGTTTGCTTAATATTCTCATTACCACTTCCCTGTCTAAGTCGACTAGTTCACTTGAATAACAAGATGTGATATTTTGATGAAATCATTATTAATGATTCCAACTTATATTTGCAGGTATGCTGTACAGTTACTAACCCCATCTAATTTATTGGCAAAAATAAATGGCAAGGAAGGTATATCCAAAGAGGAAATTGAAGAAATGAGTGAACTTTTCTATGATGCTAAACAATCAGCTAAAATATTAGCAGAACAGGGGGATAAATTCTTGAAATAATGGATAGTTTATACATGAGGAGATTAAATGATGGACTGGACAGACTCTGAAGCTTCTACGTGTTTGTGTGAGACTAAGTTGGTTGGCTGTCATGCCAACACCTTGCTGATGAACAAACATACACTTGGTCTTTCACCACATTGCATAAATTGTTTGCCCATTATGTATCGATTTTTCTGTGGGCAAAAATAACTGGAATTAACTGTGTCTGCGATACAAATATGTTTTGATACTAGAATATTTCTGGTATCTAGTCTACTTGGAAGAGATTATTTACGTTTGAATTTACTGTGAATTGGGTACATTCCAAGTGTGTTTCCAAATAAAGATATTTTATAATGGAATATTGTCATGTTACAGTTGGTTTTATGTATGCTCTTCTTCATAAGTTTGGCAACCTGGTTGGAAAGCTAAAGCCAGTTGCCAAACTTATGAAGGGGAGTGAAGGTCTGTGTGGTTTCTCTGAAATTGAGTTCAGCTACACTCAGATTACTAATTTGGGATTGTAAAATTTCTAGTAAGGTCAAAACTTACGGAGGAACCGTGATAATTGAGAGGTTCAAACAACTGGTTCAAGCTAAAACTTATCTGCAATGGGATCTTGTTTTAATTGAACTGCTACGCATTAACGGGTGAATGCGGTGCGAATTTTAGATATGTTGCGATAAAAAATGTGCGGAACACCTCTATTATCTGTAACATCATTGACTGTAACTTGATTTGCTGTAGCAACCTATAAAATCTTAGAAAATAGGCCTTAGCCAGTAAGATTAGGTTTGTCATTACACCTGAGGTCATTGAAATCTTACCAGCATAAATATTCATAATGTATTTATACAAATTGAGTATCAGGAAATATAACTAAATGTGTCGCATATAAATTGCCTGAGGGTTATAAGGCTTCTACTGATTCAAATTCAATTTTCAACCCCAATTCTTAATCAAGTGTAGTTTCTATCCATGTTTTAGAACTACAGAGTGGTCCAAAAAAATGGGTACCCTGCGACCTGCGTGCAGAGTCTAGTTAAACTACACTCTGCCTAGTAGAGACCATATTACAGTTTAGTAGCCCCACCCCCACGACGGGTACCGGTGGCAGTTCGGGTAATAAATCACTTTTGACTTACGCGCTGACCTTTCTTCCACCAATCAGCGAGCTTGAAGAAACATATGCCAAATGCGTTCTAATTAAATATTCGCATGTCATTGGTCAATTTCGGGCTCAACGATGACGTCAGAAGGAATGACTATATATAGAACGTCGGTCAAATTTGGCTGACGAACACTGATTGGCGCGGTGAGTTCACAGGTTTATTTTAGTTTGAAAGAGTTAGGATGAAGCTCTCTTTTAAGAAGTGAAGTCAAACGAATGCAAAGGGTAAAAAATGGGACACTCGCATTTCAAAAATAAATATTGATATTATTGTTGAAAACATATCATATTATATACCAGTGGATTGGGTATTTACATCTTTAATTTGGTATATCACAAGTTAAAATTTATTATAATGCCTGTCAACTAGCGTCCATAATACAAATGACGTCATTTTTGTTTCAAAACGGATTTTGAAAAACTTGCAAAAATCAACTTTTTTTGTCAACATAAACAGATGTTCAATTTGTCCACCATTCTGATCACTTATAGCCCTCAATCTTGGCATAAACTTGTTGACAGCATCATTGATATGCTTTTGAAATAATAAATTCCACTTCCCAACAATTCTGTCCTTAAGGGGCTGAATAGATGTAAGGGGCTCATAGTACACCAACTCTGTTAGTTCTCATACGTGGTAGTCGCAGAAGGTAGCATCAGGTAATTTGGGGGGTGGGCAGTTATAAAGGGGGATGAATCAATGTGTCCTGCACAGAGGACTTATTCCTGATCTCATATTCAGATCATTACGTTTTCCAACAAGATGGGGCTCCAAGCCATAGATCCTACAAGATAGTAATAGTTAAAGGAGAATGTGCCTAAATTCATACCCCCTAATCACTGGTCCCCCAGATCACTTGATGCCAACGCCGGAGACTACCACATATGGGGAGATCCAACAAAATTGGTGTATCATGAAATACTTGCATCTATTCAGTCCCTAAAGGACAGAATTGTTGAGAAGTAGAGTTAATTGTCAAAACCATATCAATGATGCTACTGATCAGTATATGCCAAAATTGAGAGCTATTATTGATCAAAATGGAGGACATATTCAACATCTGTTTCTGAAAAAAAAAAAGTTTTTGCAAGTTTTGAAAACCCGTTTTGAAGCAAAAATGACGTCATTTGTATTATGGAAGCTGGTTGACATGTATCATAATAAATTTGAACTCATGATATACCAAATTAAAGATAATTCCCCATCCACTGGTATATAATATGACATTTTTTCTTCAAAAGAATCAATGTTTATTGAAATATGAATGTCCCATTTTTTGAACCACCCTGTATATAAGGGATTTGGTTATCAGTATGCTAGAAGTAAGGTAAAGTATTTAATTTTATAATTTCACACAGGTATTATCACTTGCATCCTACTAGTTCAGTATCTTAATAGATAAGAAATTATGACAGCTGTTCTGTTTTTCGAAACTGGGAAGGTCACTGGTTTTGTCCAAACATCTGAAATATTTACAGTATAGCAGCTAAGCTGACCTGATTTCATTGAAGGTCTTAGCTGCTGAAAGGCTCATTCTGTTGTAGTTTCAAAATGTTTTTAAATGGGTATTCCAATGCATTTTTCCTGTCATCAACTGGGGCAGAATGTCTCCAAATTGTGTTTTTGTACCAAAATACACATCCTCTGATCACTGGGCTTCAAAATACAGAATACTAGTACTTCTTTCTTTTAACCCCCTGCGATAAGCAGTTGGCATTTCCCCGATTAAGAACTCACAATTTGATTCGCTGTCACAACAAGGCAATCATGTGACAGCAATCATGTGTACGTCATCAGCGCATAATTAGATCACATGATTCAGTTTAATCGGGCGCTTTCAAAATGGTTATTGTAGGGGGGAAGGAGGTACGGATTCTGGACACCTGCTTAGGAGGATGCAAAATACAAGGAACTAATATAAGAAACAGTCTAGTACTGACAGCTATGAGAATACTACTCATGGAAAAATATATCCAACGTTTTTCATATATAACATCCAAAATTACCCCAAAAAATTCAAATAAGTTTAATATATATTAGCAAGTTTATTTCAATATACAGTATTTCTGTACAGATCAATATTACAACTTGCATACATGTCACTTTCTTAAAATGTACAACTGGTGGTTTCATAAAATACAATGGACATCTATTAATCATCAATTCCATTTGGAGTTGTTTCTCAGAATCATGACACGTTTAACTGTAAATGACAAATTTAAATATCTACATATTTTCCCTGCTACCAATATCGAAGAAAATCAACACTTATTATTATGAATTACTGTATAAATGAATGGCATGTTTTGTACTAATGAGCATGACTTTCAATGATTACTAAAATACTTGAACTGTTATGAGCTCTGTATGGTTGAGGATGAAACATGTTGGATGAAAATATTCAAACATGAGTCAAAACACACCTTTATTGTACAATAATTCTTCATCAAAGATCCTTTTTTAATTTCCTATTTTATTTTCACAATTCAGTCCTGACTTTCAATTGATATAAGAATGAAGCTGTTAAGTACCAGAGAAATTAAGAAAGGATCATCGGAATCAATCAGCAAAGCATTTTGGGTAACTTCTGAGATCTGCACTTCCTGTTACTCTGTCCAATAAACATCGCCGAATTATTCAGCCCGAGGCTACTGTAGTTTTATGCTATCACAATGTCCATTTGCATTTCTATGTCACGGAACATTCTAAAATCATCTGTTATTTTTTTGAAGAATCTTGTAAACTCTCAAGTTAAAACTTAAGATCTAAGGCCAAGATCCATTTTTGTTATTTTTTTGTATCATGAGTCATTGCTTATTAAATATCTAGAATAGTAGAGTGCTCATTCCACCCATTTCACTCTGTTCTTTTACGAAGATCTCAAAGTATTGATAGATAATTGTCACGGCCAATAGGATACCTGTTCCACTGCCGATGGCACCTGAAATGCAAGAATATACGTATTAAAGCATTTCTTCTTTTCACAATATCTTGTTATACAACGGGAACTGTCTAAATGATCCGTAATAAATATCCCACATGTATTTTCACAAAAATATTTCATAAGTATTATCTATTTATGTTATGTTCTGTCAATGATATGCAAAATAAGCTCATATTAAATAAAATTTAAAAAAGACAGTTTATATGCAATTTTTCTATATCTCATCTGGATGCAGGACTTTTAACTGACATCTTTGTGAAGAGCCCAGTGGATTTGACACCAAGATAAGCACTTAATTTCAATGGTTAACTTACCAAGGAAATCAGCTAGGACTGAGAGAGCTCCTATACATAAACCACCAAAGGCAGCTGCAGTAGGGATGTATCTATTCAATTCTTTGATCATCGATGTTTCACGATGACCTCTCATTACCATCTGTTGCTCTTTCAGTTGCTTAGCAACCTGAAAATAAAAAGTTTAAATATATATAATATGTGTATACGAAGTTTCATAATTATAGTCTCCAAGCAGTGTAAATTGATAGTGATAATTATTGTATGTCTCATTTTTATCTTGTCTATAAATGGCATCGATAAAACACTTATTTATTTTAATATTTATTCACCATATTCATACTTTCAATTCAAAATACAAATACCGATCGCTGTACCAAATAAAAGGATTTACTTACATCTTTAGCACTGGACCCTGATACATCAATCCAAGTTTTAGAAAAGAATGCACATGATCCCAACATGAACACGATGTAGAGGACTGCGTGGATGGGATCCTCAGCAACGTGACCAAGGGTTTCTGGGGGTGACAGATAGTAGCAAAGACCCCCAATAGGATAGCTTCTGGCAGGGCCGCCACCTCCAACATCAGCCCACACGCCCAAAAGATTGATGAAAAAGTTACCACTAAATTTTGCTGCCAACATCTAAAACAAAAAACAAAGAGCTTGATTATATAATATGCAAGTCTTTTTAGGGATATCCTTCCATCTAAGGTTAGAAGAAGCTTAGTTAGAATTTACCTCAAATAAACAAGTAATGGATTTAGAGACATTTCTATACATAAATATATATTAAATAACTTATTATTTCACATATTATTCATTTATAAATTCACATATTAGCATTTGTAATTGTAAAATCATGAACAACATTATGATCTGTTCAGTGAACCACATCCCTTCAATTAACTACAATTTCTTTACCTGTGAGATGACGTAGAGATTAGACACTAGAGCACTCTGGAGGATGATTGGTATATTAGAAGTGTAGAACAGCTTAATTGGGTATGAACTGTATTGACCTCTGTAACGAGCTGACTTGATTGGAAGATCCACACGGAATCCCTGAAAATATCCATATAAAACATAAGCATCTTTTATATTAAATATGAAGTAACTTTATACACCTTTAAATGCATGGTTTGCACAATTTTAATTTAAATGATTATATGTGCTCTAAATATCAGGTTTCATTTCAATCATACAATTTCATTAAGAATTCAATAGCAAACCTCCAACATAGTGCTTGTCAGGTGAACAGATTTGCTTTTTAATAACATACTCAATGGCACTATCAAAAGTGAGTGTGTATTTTACCTGGAAGTATATGACAATTCCAAAGACTAGGATGGTTGCCATGAGGTTCATCAAATTGGGAAGGTTTTGTCTGTAGAAAGCCTCACGAAGACCTCTTACTTTGTCACTTCTTGTGGCCAAGAGATGGAAAAGAGCGATGATTGCTCCTTCAAACTCAGTTCCTACAAGAGTACAATATTAACTTCATCAGTATATTGAAACCATGATAGTTGCAACTTTTCAATACAATACATGCACAAGAAATTATCAATTCCCGCATATATTTGAACTAAGCATATTGACAAATGCAGACCCCTCTATATGGAAAAAGTAAAAAATATTTTGAGTAGATATAATACAGATAAAGACAAAAAACTTGCTCAAAAACTACATTGTCCATGTCCCTTCATAGAATGGACACATGATGTTATGATCATAAATATGTATGGTGGTACTGACCTCTTCCTGTGTTGACTGTAGCAGGACTGAATGCCTTCCAGACAATGGTTTCACAAATGTTGGTGGCAATGAACAGTGAGATACCAGAGCCAAGACCATAGCCTTTCTGTAGCAACTCATCCAGCAACAATACAATAAGTCCAGCAACAAACAACTGAAAACAAACAACAATATAAATTACACAGTAACGTGCTGCATCTGGAGGAAATATCACAAGACAAAATAAGTAAATGAGTAACAACCATGGGCCATGGGATAATTTCATTTTTTTGTAGTTATACCACTTCATAAAAATACTTTGATTTCAATGCTGCTGATGTTTTTTTATAAAACCAATCATAGTTTTTATATATTTTTGTCTCATCACTTCAGCAAGTAAGAAAGCTGAGAATTACCCAAATCAAATCTACTCCTCATAATAACTTTACAAATTGAATGAAATAACATATTATCTGGCTCCTATTTTCCTATTCTCCTATCTAATTTGAGCTTCAAAACATGTCATTCTTATCCAATCCATCCAGTGGTATTCTTACCTGAATAATGATGAGGAGGCAGACACCAGCTCCAATATCAGAAGGATCTCCATACATTCCAGTCATTACATAGACAATAGCTTGACCAATAGTAATCACCATACCAAACACTGAAATACAAACCAAAATAGTCATATTTGTGTAATGCAATATCTAAAAGTTTACTCTTATTTTCTGGACATATTAGCCAGATATCAACTATTCTGAAAATCTGGACAATACACTTCTTCTTTATTTGTAAATATTTCACAGTCTTAGAATGGAGGAAGAAGTCCCAACATATATAACTTTGAATTTCCTCAAATGAACTTGTTATAATGGTGCTACATTTGCAGTATAACTTCATTTTCAGAGTCACAAACCAAAACTCACATTTCTGGGCTCCATTGAACAAAGCTCTGTCCTTTGGTGAATCACCGACCTCAATAATCTTGGCACCAGCCAAAAGCTGCATGATGAGACCTGAGGTGACGATGGGGGAGATACCCAACTCCATGAGAGTTCCCCTGTTGGAGGCCATGATTACTCTCATCCAGTAGAAAGGATCAGCAGAGTCTGATGACATGATACCAAACAGAGGGATCTGGAATGGAGAAATTCTGTGTGTACAATTTTTTGATTATCATCTTATATCAATCAATAATGAGGGTCATCTCTATCTAGTACATGTAAACATTTCATTGAACATTTCATGGTTTTTAAAGAAATAGTATCTATAATATAACAGTTAGTTGATGTAAAATGTTCATGACAAGTGAATCACTACTTCCATGAATTAAAGCTATTTTCAAGTTATTTTTACAGAGTACATCATGACAAAGTATCACTCTCCTGTCTAACTCAGAGTTGGGGGGGGGATGCTTGCTGCAAAATAGTAAAACCTAATTCAATTGATGAATGGCCTCTTACCTGACAACACACCAGGAAGATGAACAGAGTGATGGCTGTCCATAGCACCTTCTCTCTGAACTGAATCTACAACACATAGCAAATAAGTAAATTAGTCACCCTATATACACAATACAATACTTTAGATACATGAAACAATAACACACAGGGATAGCTGCAGCTAATTCAACACTGCATTGCTTGTGAATCTAGAAGTTGTAATTCCAGGTCAAATACAATCAATAAATATGGAAAGTGTACAAAAATATGTTGACTTCAGTTTTGATTCTATTTTTTTATATTTTGTATTGAAATTGAAATCAATGATTAATTTGTCAGTTAAAATCTTAGGATCTACCAAGACGATTGATTGTAACAGACCAAAAGAAACAACATGAAGTTTTACCCAGTTAAAAGATTTCTTTGTAAATACATACACAAACTATAACAATGATTTTAATAAATGTACTCAAGCACAATGATTGTAATCATATGGGTTATGATGATTTCTTTGTGAACATGTGTTATTAATTTATGTAGGCCAATAAAACATAATTGAAATTAATAACTAATTAGTTTTGATCAAATATAATAGTGTTGATTGTTTGAAGCCATTTTTACACATTTTACTATGATGATAATGTAGATGTTATAATTATTAAATTTATACAGAAATATTTAGTTTTAGAGATGAAATCACAAAAATATCTTGATAATATAAGCAATCCATTAACAAAATCTCAATTATATGTAGAAATAACAAACACAAATCATTAGAGATCAGCACATGTGATCTTTTTCAAGTTAATATGTTTAATTTTTCACTGAATAAAGGCTAGCAAACCTTTCTGTATATTTATCGATTCAAAAACACTATTGCTATGCACTCAACAACTTGAGTGCAAAAGATTCTTCTCAATATGTCCTTTACAAACATAGACACATTAGTGCTAAAGAATAACTATTAATTTATTGTTTTTGCCTTATTACACCCAAAATTGGTAAAACTATGACACAGTTTGAAATCATGGGGACAAAGAAGCTAGGTATGTCATTAATATAACTGATCCTGCACAATTATCATATCTTGCCAGAATCACCAACATGATTTTGCCTCAGTCAATATTTATCCAGACTTGGTGACCAGATATTTTGCAAAGTATCATCTTATTCAAAACATTATGACTGAACATTATAGGCATTTTAGAATCCATATGGACAAACATTTGCATGCTTTGGAAATGTTCATCAATTAAATCAACAATTCTTTGCTAATGAACATTTTACTTTCATCGATACAGTTTAAAGTTAGTTTTTGTAAGGAGAAGCAGACATGTCTGTAAGTTATGGTCATAAAATAGAACACCGAGAAATTTCTAGACAATTTCATCACCCAAAATCCATCAAATAGCAAAAGTTTGTGACTGAACAAATAGCAAAGTTTGTGACTGAAACAATCTTTTAAAGGATAAACGATATGCCACGTTATATAGTACAGAGAATGCAACGTGTACTTGTTTTGAAAACAGCTGTGAAATGAAAAAAATACTGAACAACTTTGTACCTTTCTTTCAGGCTTCTGTATCTCTGGAAGGACCGCACAAAACGGCTTCACAAACTCGAGGAATTTAACTGAAAATAAAAGAGGTTGAATTAAGATGAATAAGATGGAATAAAGTACATGAAAACCAGAGTTATTGAACACAATGTATCACATAAAGGGCGATAATATGTAAATCCTGAAAGCCACGTATGCAGTGAAATCCAACGGAAAATATTTCCAAATTTTAAACGCAGTAATCTAGGAAATCAAATGAAATGCACGTCAAAAAGTTTTCTTTATACTTACTCCCCATGTTGATCTATTCTTTTGTTAATCCCTGTTCGAATCTATCGTCTCAGAAGTGGAAAAGAACCAATGTTTTCCACCCTAACTCGAACTTGTTTCGGACTCAATATGGCCGAAAAATAAAAGGAAGTCACGTGACTGCCACTAATTGATTTTTACTAATTTAGATAGGTATTTCATCAAAAGTATGATGTTATGTGTCCTATCGTCTTTCCCAAAAGTTGCATTATGATACAGGGCTTTGATTTATACCTCCATAGAGCAATCAATCCGTTCATAATACTCCAAATTGCAATTATGTGGTCCGGCGTGTTGAATGCTGGGTAATAATGACGTCATCGAGGGGGTGTACTAAATACCACCTAGGTGCCCCACACCTAGGTGTCCCCATTGAAATGCCTTAATGGCATATTTTACTACTTTATTTCAAGATAACATTTTTCCAAGTATTAATTTGGTACATAATAAAGTATTTTCGTGGAACTTGTGTAAATATTTCTGTTTGTTTATGATATTTTTGTCTTGAAAATTTTGATCCATGTCAAAAAGTCATTTGTAAGAACATGGGCTTTCAACTAGAAGGGTAGGCAACTTCCCATATTTCATACATAAACATTGCCATGGGTTTTCAAAATTGGAGAATGTACACATTCCAAGAAAATCTTATTTTGTACTTTTTATTGATGATTAAAAGAAATAACTCAAAAATAAAAACATGATCTTCTACATACATCTTGATAATTTAATAAAAATTGGAATTCATCATAATTATGAGAATACAGAAAGTGAACATTCTCCCACAAATTATGTTTTTATTGGAATGTGTTCTTGAATAATTAACCACAATGCAATACTCAAGAAAACATCTTGATAACTCTTATTCTTATTGGTCTCTTTTGTTTACTTTTATATGATATTGAATATATTTTATGCTTTAATCATATTAAAAAATTGATTATTATTCAAAATAATACTAAAACATATACATTTATCTAATACTTTTTGAAATATTGCCATAAAAGGGAAGCATGTCATTGCTCATTTTGAAGGTCTCATGTTATTACATAGAGTTGCATACCCTTCTAGTTGAAAGCCCATGGTAAGAATAATATTTCATTATTTGCTCACTATAAAATGCTACAAATTCACTATTTTAGCAACAAGTATGAACAATATATATATTTCAAATATAAATGCACACTTTAGCATTAGCATTAATGGTGTTTTGTTACTACAAATAAGTAACCATACATATGAGCAAAATTCCAGGTGCCCATTTTTCTATCAATAAAACTTTTTACATTTTATTTTCGAATCTTTTTTGATATATTCTCGACTTCAAATTATTATTTCAAGTCTATTAAATGTCAAGTTAATATGACAAAGGAAATAATACTATATTTAAAATGTGTACGTGGTTTAAAATGGAATTAGAAATCCAGGTGCCCAAGGGGACACCTAGGTGGTATTTAGTAACACCCTCATCGAGAGATTGATCCAAGATGGAGGAGCAGAATGTCAACAAAATAAAAGTTTGATAAAACGTTGCCATTTACGACATGAATATGTAGAATTTACCTACACATATGATGTTTTGTAACAATTGAATACATAGAGACATTGTAGATTGAACGTTTTTGATTTTCCTAAAGTTTATTCTTTAGTCATGGGTGGAAAAAATTCAACTTTTGATGAAGAGAGTGGATACACAAACAGTACTGCAGACAATGAACATGAGAGAAGGCTGGATAAAACAGTCCATCTTGTACCAGGGAAACGCAATGCCCCAGATAGGATAACAGATCTTGCACGTTACATGAATGTAGAATCGAGAAAACGATCCGAAGTTGCAAAGAATGAATACAATTACACGAAGGTAAAAAAATGTTAGAAAAAACTTTTATTCGACCTATTCTCATCAATTTAAATCAGAGTTGAATTATTCTTGATTTTCATCATGACATATAAGTTGAAAGTTTTATTTAGGCTTTCAATAGAAGGGTAGGCAACTTCCCATACATGTATTTCATACATAAGCATTGTCTTGGGTTTTCAAATGGGAGAAGAAATGCTTCCTGTACACATTCCAAGGAAAATCTTGTTTGTGCTTTTCGTGTATGATTTTAAGAAATAACCCAAAATAAAAACATGATTTTCTGCATACATGTTGATGATTTAGTACAAAACGGGATTTATCATAATATGACAATAATGAAAGTGGACATTCTCCCACATATTATATTTTTATTGGAATGTGTTCTTGAATGATTACCCACAATGCAACACTCAAAGAGAACATTTTAATAACTCTTTTTCTTATTGGTCTTTTTTGTTTACTTTTAAATGAGATTAATCAGGTTTTATGTTTTATCATATTCGAAATTGTTTTTTCTTCGAGATAATACTAAAAACACACACATTTATTTAATAAATCTTTTTGAAGTTTTATCAAAAAGGGAAGCATGGCACAGCACATCTTGAAGCTCTCATGTAATAACACAGAGTTGCATGGAATCCCATGGTTGGCTATGTGTACATGAATTTAAAGTACCATTAATTTTTAAAATCGTTGCATTTACAGGAAAGTGTTCAGCTTGTAAAGCACATGTTTAAAAAGATGGACCCTTCAGTAATGAAAACCACAGTTGATGTGATGGGAGATCTTCAGTTGTCCTTCAAGGTACATGTATATAACAAATATGAATTAATTCTGAAATTGAAATGCATTTAAGATGTATTAGTATTGGAATGTACTCTATCTTACTTACTCCTGAGCATGGGTAAATGGCCTTGATGCAAGACTATTGATGTATCACAAGATCATATCAATGACTTAAAGACACATTTTAGCCAATTTTAAACACTGCTATTAAGAAGTATAATGTACCTGGGGGGAGGGGGGGGGGGTTGCTGGCACCCCTGACCCCCTGGCTATCAGCCTGCATATATATGTGTTGCATTGTGTTATTGCGATTTTTCCAGTATGATTTTGCCAGAGGCCTACTGCTGCTGAAAGTTCTGAAGGCAAGAGAACTTGTCTGTAAAGACCCAAGAACAAAAAGTGCAGATCCTTATGTGAAGGTAATATTTTTTTCATGTATTTCCAGTGCATGACTTACAGATGTACTTTTCCCTAAGTAAAATTGTCATTTTGTAAATATCATGTCAATTGATATTCATGTATTTTCAAGAACAGCTATGCATTCTCCTGTCACATTTTAAAAAATCACATAAAATAGTAAAGTTCCAATAAAAAAGATGGTGCACATGTAGTTTATTCAGAATTCACCCACTTTACTTTCCAGTTAAGTATTCTGTTTTCTGATGGTTCCCAAGAGTTCCACTGTCAGACAAATGCAGCAAAACGCACCTTGAATCCTGTCTTCAATGAGATCTTTACATTCAAACTCACGCCTGAAGATTTAAAGCAAAGCCGTATTATTTGTCATATCTGGGACCGTGATATTCTGGGTAAAGATGACTTCATGGGAGAAGGGGTGGTCCATTTAGCTGCTTTCAACTTTGAGGAGACTCCAGTATACACAGCCTGGTACAATCTACAGATGGAGGTAGATTACTAAGATTGTTTACATTTGTTGAATCTTCAAATTGTTTTGAATTTATAAGTAAAACTACTATTGTCAGGCAAAATACCAAAATGGTCAGGGAATTTTAGAATCCTGAAAAAAATCAGGGATTTTTAAGTGTTTGAAATTTGAAAAAAATTGAAAGTTGAAAAACCATAAACCGAAGACACATAAATGAAGAGACTGAATGAAAACAATGAAGATAATGTAATGGTTTTTTACTTTCATTTTTTGTTGATAAGAATAACAAAGGACAAGTCTCGGTTTAGAGAACAGTCTCCTGAGCTAATAATTTTTTTATGAATAATATAGAAATAACACCCAAATTAAAATATGAATATTCAAAAGAGGACATTTAAATATACAAGAGGTAAAAATATCAAAATTGTCCGAAGCAGGCATAACATGCAGTAGACTGATGAACTTCGTTCTCTAAACTGAGACTAGTCTACTTAGTTGGGGAATTTCACTTTTGAATCTGAGAAGTCTGAATTTGTTTTGAAAATATTGTGCCAACCCCATACTATGTATCACCTGTCATCTCTGGTGGAAATACAAAAATATATGGTCTATATAGTATTCACTCATGAACATGATTTTATTGATTTGAACATTTTAGACTGACTTTTCGATCACTGGGGACATAGAGGTAGAGTTGAAATACAAGTTGCCCCAGACATTGGCTATAAATGTAGTGAGGGCGTCAGGGCTGGTACAGAGAGACCCTGAAAGACCTCCAGACCCTTATGTCAAGATTATGATCCCAGGCGTGCAAACTATACATAAAACACAGGTTAGTCAGTCATCTTGTACCTATGGGCATGCATTTGCTCTTGCTTGCGTACATCAATGTGTCATCAAAATTCCAGAGTTTTGGTGGTCTATATCTTCCACATATCTGAGGTGTCTTGTAGATTCTAATTTTGAAATATTGATTTGCCAAAATTTTCACTTTTTCAATATTTATCCCAACGAATGAACGAACGACATACAACGAACGAAGGTAGAGTAATAAAGGTGAATATTACATTGTGACATATAAAGATCATGCATATAGTGTTTGTTTGGATTTGCTACTCTGTGAAGTTGACAAATTGATTCCATTAATTCCATCATATGTTCAATTGTATCTTTGATAATTTCCATCATATGTTTGACTCATTTCTGCCATACGTGAACAACATGTTGAATAATAAATCATATTGTTTGTGCATTTCCATTATCTGTTTAGCCATGTTTGTTTGTTGTGTAGATTGCCTTGGATACAGTGAACCCAGAGTGGGATGAAGAGTATGACTTCCTAGTGCCCCTTGATGAGTTCAGTCAAAGGTATATAGCTAACCATATACGGTTACACAGTTAGAATCTTTTTTTCAATGGGGATGGGCTCCTTATTGATTTATCAACATTCAGAGATCTTGTCAAAATCCAAAACAAGACAAGGCAGGTTAAATAAGTTAAATAGGTAAGGGAAAACTTAAGGGCCAAAGTAAATTTGATGCTACCAGGGACAACATTTCCACAATTTCAATCCAGAAAATACATGAAAATAAATTCTGTAAACTAAGATGCAATTGCCTTGCCTGCCTGCGTATATGTGTATGACAACTTTACACTTAATTGGCAGCCAAGTTTTAAAAAATGTTTACATTTGGTTATAAGACTGCCACAAAGTTTCAGTTGTATAAAACCATGAATTAGTGTACAAATAGTGACTGCCATTGAGGGAAATAGTGCAAAATATTTTCCTCAAGGGAATATCCTGTCCACTGACATGTTCCCGAGGCTGCAGACAGGATATTCCCGAGAGGAAAATTTTTACACTATTTCCCGAAAATGTGGCAGTCACTATTTGTTTTATTATATACCTGATAAGTACTCTGTATACATGTAAACAAAAACAAAATGAGAAGTCTTTTCGTTTCAATATCAAATGTTCACAGGTTCTTATTGGCATTTAAAGGCATTTTACCTTTCAACTCCTATAATCTCAGATTTGGGGGAAGATAAAACGTACTATTGACTGGTCACATGACCTAACTGGTGATTAGTACAATTCATCTTCCCTGAAAGCAGGGATTTAGGACTTTCCAGGGAATTAGTTCATCTATTCCATGTCATGTGACCATGAATAAGCCAATGAGCATCTACAATACATTTGAGGTATATAATAATGCTTCATAACCTCTTTAAGCTTGTATTTGATCACAATCACATCTCTACCCACTGTTACAGGTATGTGATCTTACATGTACTGGACAAGGCATGTGTTGGGGAAGACTCTCTGGGTCAGGTGATCATTGACTTAGACAACTTTGACCACGAGCTTGGCTACAGAGGCTCCTTTCAGCTAGAAGATTTGGTAAGTTATATATGTGCTATAAACTGTCCTGCCACTTATCAACGTAATTCAATTCAACTCAATTCAATTTGTTTCATATTTATCCCAACGAACGAAGTTCGGTAGGGATATAGTGAAGCCCTCCGTCCGTCAGTCCGTCTGTCCGTCCGGAAGATAACTCAAATATTAGTTGACGGATTTTCTTCATATTTGGTGGAAAGATGTATATTGATAAATAGTTTTACGCAAAAAAAAAATTTTCAAGATGGCCGCCACTTTAAAAATGACGGGACTTTTTCGCAAAAATCATAAATTTTTTATTCTAAACCAAAGTAATAAATATTATTGTCTGAAATTTTGGTAGTATATTCGCAACATCTATCTATTTCACATATATTCCGTGTTTTTCATCCTGACCCCCAGGGGCCGTGTATGGGGGGTCAGGAAAACAGATATTTTCGCCAATTTTTAGATCTATCGAAGTATAGCTTTATTATACTCAAATGAAAGGCAATTAAGAGTAAATTGCAAATATTGTATCTTTTTTCTGATTTGAGCCTCGTAAAATTCAAAATGGCCGTCTAATGTACGATTTCGCAATAATTTTTCGATCCCTTCAAAGTATGGCTATAATACTCAAATTGAAGGAATTTTGGAGTAGATCACAATTATGGTAATATTTTTCAGATTTGTACCTCAGAAAATTCAAAATGGATTTTTTCAAGATGGCCGCCGCTTTAAAAATGGCGGGACTTTTTCGCAAAAATCATAAATTTTTCATTCTAAACCAAAGTAATTAATATTATTGTTTGAAATTTTGGTAGTATATTCGCAACATCTATCTATTCCACATATATTCAGTGTGTTTTTCATCCTGACCCCCAGGGGCCGTGTATGGGGGGTCAGGAAAACAGAAATTTTCGCTAATTTTTAGATCTTTCTGAAGTATAGCTGTACAAGCTTTATTATACTCAAATCAAAGGCAATTAAGAGTAGATTGCAAATATTGTATCTTTTTTCTGATTCGAGCCTCGTAAAATTCAAAATGGCCGTCTAATGTACGATTTCGCAATAATTTTTCGATCCCTTCAACGTATGGCTATATAATACTCAAATTGAAGGAATTTTGGAGTAGATCACAATTATGGTATTATTTTTCAGATTTGTACCTCAGAAAATTCAAAATGGCTGCTTTGCAGGAATTCGCAATTCTAAAATCTAAATTTTTCAATTTTAACCAAAGTAATGAGTATAATTGATTGGAATTCGGTAATTGATATTTTGTTCGTTGGGATTTGCTACTCCGCGGAGTTGCCATCATCTAGTTTGTTTACATAATGTTCACTATATATCAAGCCAATGTACTAGACAAGAGCTATATGTTGCAGCATAAAGTGAATTAATTTTAACTTCATCTAGACTACATTTAAATGAAAGGGCTTATACTTTGTGACAGTATTTCATAAACATATTATGATGAGATATCTTATCTTACATTTCATGTACTAATGATACCCTATGTCATGTACAATTATCGTATTCATGGTTCCCTATTCAAAAGAGGAGACGCAAAATATTTTCCTGATGAGGTCAAAATATTTCCCACGATGCAGTTCGCGGAGTAACAAATTCATATTCCTTGTTTTCCCCCATAGGTTTAACATGCGGATTTTCACACCTATTTTTCAATTGATATATTCGTTCATATTCCCATACGGGAGTACAGAAAAAATTATCAGAAGCGATTACTCTCTTATTAATTTTGATGAAACAGATATTTTTTTCATTGTATTGATTCATAGTGTGCTGAAAACGACGATTGAAAAGTGACAACATATTCCGGAAGAGAAGGTCATGTGATCAGTTGACTAGTCGCCATATTGGAAAAAATTATTTCATTCGACTTTCAATGCTTTCATTCCAATCTCACCGCACTACAAACTGCAACATCGATGCAACAACAGAATAAAAGTACTCATCTTCAAATTGCATTATAGAGTTACGTTGGAAACCCAAAAACTACGAAGCAGTTGACCAAAGAAGACGCATTGATATTATCTAAGTCAATCGGTTCAGTGTCCAAATGCAAATCTATATTACTCGTTTCATGACATCACTTTGACTGAATTTTGAATATTTAATGAACTAAATCAAGATTTTTTCTACTCGCAACTAGTCTATTATATTGAAAGAGCTTTGAAAATGTTAAATAGATGGCTCTCACATCTACATTTTACCAAGCAAAATTAGTTTTTGATTAGATTGAAACAATAGCATTCAGCTTTACTCTTTCCTCTTCACATCGATCATTGGTATCAAATGGAATATAAAATAAAAAAGTTATCCAAAGGGTCAAAATAATTGTGCACCTTTAACTTGTCACAATCAAATGAAATCATACCTTTGCTATGTTCAATTTGGTGTCAGTTTCTCTAGATGGTAAAAATACATTTAACCCTATTATTAGCGAGCTTTCTATAGGCAAAGTGGGGTTTTAAAAGCATGAAGTTTTTTCATCAGAAGTATGGCCTAGATAGCACAATATACTACCTTGCATACAACACACAGCATCACATACAGTTCTGCAATTGATATCAGTGCCCATAACTCACATACATGTACACTGTCCCACCTTCTGTTTTCAGAAAAACAGCGATCGGCTTCGCAGTAAGTGGTTCCAGCATGCAACAGTGCAAGAGTTCCGAGAGGCATTATTAGCACATGCCGCATTCAAACAACCAAATTTCCTGTTCTCAAAACAGGGAGGGAACAAGGTACTTTATAAATGAGAAATACAAATTTTGAATAAGATTTTCAATGGCATAATAAATCTTTAAAGATTGGCTCCATGGTTTGAATTTTCTAGTCGTTTATCTATTTTATATTTATTTTCAAAGTGTTTTACCTTGTATTTTCTATTTATGAATAATCAAAAAACATTTCAATTTAAAGATGGCAGCCTTGTGTAAAACCATTTTGGAAAGATGCAAGAGAATAAACAGATGAATTATCTGTAATCTAAACTTGCATTGAGCTATCTTTATTAGGAATTTATTATGAATGGTATATCATTTTTATCAAATATTTATTTTTTGATTTTGTAGGTGATAACTGTGAAAAGTCGTAAAGCAGGGGCCATCGCCAAGCTTAGAATTGTCGATGGTATTCCGGTTTACTAAATTGAACGACATCCAAATCAGCAGTTCCAATGAATTAAAGAATCAGTTTCTACAGCATTGAAATATTCAAAAGAACATTGTTTAGACGCCAGTGAGTGATTCCGTCCATTTACTAGGGACTGTCTAAAAGTTCATATAATACGTGTATAGAACTTTGAGACCTCCCCTTTATTAACATAAATAGTACCTGTTAAATGTTATATATTTTTTAGATTAGGACTTTATTGTAATATAAGCTATTTATGGTACTAATGTAGAGTAAGCACATTTATTTGCATGATTGTTACATTTATATGCCACAATACATTTGTTGCAAGAATGATGCTTAGTCTTGCATCAACACACTGTGATGCAAGACTTATCATGTGTTTAATTGGGGACCAAAATTACAAGTTCCTGGCTCATGTACAAGCTATAGGAAAAAATGACTGTCATTGTAATTTACCAAATTTCAACCAGATTAACATTGAGAAACAATACATTTGTGAAATTCTCAGGACACAGGGCTCAGAAGTCATTCAGGGGTGTAAAATGAAAGAAGATCCTTTGCAACTTTGAGCCCTTGGTCGGAGAATGGTGACCTGATACAATAAAATGTTTTTGTACTTTTGTTTTTGCAACATCTGGAACAGAATCAATCAATATTTTTTCATATGTAGAAATTTATCACAAATTCTGATCTACCATCCTTATTGTATTTTATGCTTTATCTAGTGTTTGAATAATGTACTTTTTGTACTGTGTAATGTGTATATAAATAGAAATTATACTGTAGATGGTAGTTGAAAGTGGCTGGCCCATTTTTGCAATATTTGAATTGATACCAATATTTAATTTGTATTAAACATAACAAAGTTGATTTAAATGTGTTATATGAGTAGTTTATTTCATTTTTATGATAGAATTGCATGTAAAGTGGGTACATTATTTATACAAGTAGGCTTACATTGTGCTGCCATCTATGCATGATTTCATTGCTAAACAAATTTTGATGCTAAGGATTCGACAAAAAGGATGCTTGCCTCAAAATAAAGGGCACATGCTTTTATGCATGAGCTCTTAAGCAAATTAACTGAATAATGTTAAAATTAATCTTCATTGAAAAAATTAAATTGGACTCGGGAGACAGAGGTTGATGAGCTTATTCTCAGGAAAGGATATCTCTGTTTAATTTGTAGGCGATGCCACCGTACCTCAAATATAATGTAATATGATCATAATTTGAATATTATTCAAAATCAATTTTAATGGAAAATTGGATTAGAGATCCATAACTGTTTGCTGTCAAGCAAGATGAAACTATTCAGTTTGTCAGGACATCATTAGTCGACGTGTGTTGCTTGCATGATACGCAGATCATAGATACACTTCAGCTCTCTTCTGCTTTTATCATACATCTATTGACTTTTATAAACTGGCCATTTTTCATAGTAAAAAAACTTGATTTTATCAAAGTGCTTGGCTGATACAAGAATGGATTTTCTTTCTATGCTAATTTCAATTAATTTTTGGGTGTATTGTTTCTTGTTTGCAACAGATGTGCGACACAATCGTGATGCATTAACTGATGACGAGGGCTGTTTTTCTGACAATAGATATTTGCAAGCCATTGAAAGCTACACCGTCACATCTCAGCTTTTTGAACTTGTAGATTTGTTCACTTGTAAATAATTAAGTAAATACATAGGCAAACAATACTTACGTCCCACTAAAGATTATCATTTTAGATATATGTTTGATCAGTTATGGTCTTGACAAAAAGAACTTTGCAAGTCCATGAAACAATATTCCAAAGTTGAATTGTATTTTTCCTATGACATAATAATGATAAAAACATCAATATTTTACAGTTTGTAATTTATGGAACTTTTGTTCCATTTTAGAAACATTTGGCCCATAATGGTAGTGGTACTAGGAGTGTTAAACTTCATTTCTGAATTATTGCTACGTAGATTTTTTATATCCGATCTAGAATAGATAATAAACATAAAACAACAAAACAGATTATATCTTTGTGATTTTCTTTTGCGTTTTCTCTTAGTGTCAGAATATGTTAGATATTGAGATAGTTCTAGTTCATGTATTTATATTTAACATGAATTACTTCAATCAGACAAAGTGCTCATTTTTCAATGTCTTCTTTTTCAAATTTGCTATAGTAGGCCAGATTTTCTTAAATATGCAGACCTACTCTGTTTGCATTTTCAAATGTTTGTTGTTTCTTGCATTCAATTGTGTTTACAATATATAACAGTGTTCTCTCCATTATTGGAGCAATAAGGCTGCACCCAATTGATAATTTGAAAATTACCTTGTACCCAATTGAAAATCGTATGCACCAAGTTGATAATTTGAAAATTAACTTGTACCCCATTCATCCATCTGCACCCAGTTCATAATATGAGGAATCATGACGTGTTTTGACCAATTTTGGAAATTCAGAATTTTTCACCCATTCGAAAAATAATTCTTGATAGATGAAAACCCATACATAAATTAAAAATGTGATTGGACTCAATTTTCAAAATGAAGGTCTGATACGAGTTAAATGAATGAATCAACCTTGATGGGACTGCATCCTTAAATGTGAAGCTAGTAGTGGGCCTGGTGGAATAATTGCAATGACAAACAGGCTTTGATACTTCATCGAAATTATATTCTAGTCTAGTCAATATTGAACTGTCATTTGTTACATTTCAAACTAAACTGGTCTCAGATGTAAATCACCAGTTGAAAAAACTCAATTACTGGGATCAAACGGGGATGTCCAAATTGAACATTACTATTCATATACAAGAGATGTTAGTTGATAACGCGAGATTCCACCCTTTTTGTCCGACTTCGGCTGTTTCATTTTGAATTTCTTGAATCTAATTTGAGAACAAAGAAAGATATCTGCTTCTCTTGTATCTGAAACAAACCCGAGAGAATTTTGTGATTTTGGATTTGGTGTATTTTTATTGGGAAAATATGCTGTAACATGCCTTGTTTGTTATTTGAAGTAAGGGGTTTCTATATCCGCAATTCCCTCAAGCAATTTGTTTATGTCTTCTCTGCCATATTTTCTAAATTATTATTGTGACAAGGGGGCATCTTGAATGCTGTAGAGATCCTTTGAAAGAAATATGACTCTGCCCTCACTTATAAGATATTGTCTCATAAATGACTAGTGAAATAATGAATCATATAACATTTTGTTATCATATAGTCACATCCATCCCATTACAAGAAACATTCACTTTTGACACTAGACCTAGTTCATTCTGCTCTTAGATGTATTTTTGATGAGATTTAGTATCAGAAAAAGTGAAGGACAAAATTGAAGGAAAATGATAAAAATAACTATTATGTCTTATGAATGATATTTCACAAATACAACTGATTTCAATATGTCTAATGCTAATAATTTGAAAATGATTTCTTATTTTCTTCTCTTGTGTGTTTCTTAATGAAAATATTGCCACTTATTTCGTTCACTCTCGATACGTTGCATATAATGTACATATATGTTTATATTGCCCTATGAAAAATACTGCTTAAACTTTATGATCGATTACTTTATCACTGCTACCCACATAATTACACAGACGTATCGTCGGTGTATCATGGCGGAACTTCCTCCGGGACTAGGTTTCGGTAAGATTTTTTTATTTCCCGATTTACACCTACTTATAAGTCACGTTGTGGATAACAATTTGGCTCGAAGTTAAGGAAGATAGTCTAGTTTGAGAATGTGTCGATGGTTTTAGATTTTATATGTTAACAAAGACACAATTCACGTATTTAGTCCCTCGCTTTTCTTACACTGACGATCGGCATTAATATTGCCAATATTACACTGATATTGGTCGTTCGTCAGTGTAAGTAAAGCGAGGGACTAAATACGTGAATTGTGTCTTTGTTAACATATAAAACCTAAAACCATCGACACATTCTCAAAAATCTTACCGAAACCTAGTCCTGGAGGAAGTTCCGCCATGATACACCGACGATACGTCTGTGTAATTAGGTGGGTAGCAGTGTTTATGATCGATTATTTCCCAATTTAATTTTTTTAAACATTCAAGATTTATGACGTAATGAGCTTCAATTCTTGTGCCATATGTGAGGTTTGTCCCATTTGTTAATTAGTAATTACTCAATGGTGAATTATAGAAAGATAATCTCATATTTAGAGAGATAGCATCCTTGATTATTTGCTTATAATATAGATTATCTTTAATCCTAGTGGATTATAAACTTCTGGTTGGTATCAAATAAATCATATATGATTATAAAGTCATAAGTAAGATTAATAATAACTTAATATGGCGGCATTGTCCTCATTTACTTTGAAGTAATTTTCGAGCATGTTTGAATTTATTTTGAAAAAGACAATATAACAATATACATGTTAATATACAGCTTCTTTTATGCTCTATTTTGACTTTCTGGTATTTATATTTGACAGCTAAGATATAATCAAAGTCATAAAAATAAATGAACACATTTTTATCATGTGGATTATGAATACCAAAGATTTTTAATGTCACGAAAATATAACATTAACTAGTTGAAAACTGTTAAAGCCCCTAAAACATGAGATAAGTAAACCATGTTGTACATTTCTATAGCTACTATTTGTATTTGTTTTTCCACACTATTGAGTTTTATGAATCTTTTTTTATTCCATTGAATGATGTTCAGGGGGATATAGACAATGTCCCCATAGAGAATGCCTCCATCTGCCCATCTTGCAGGCGATAACTCAAATACTGGTGGTCTGATATTGCTTATGTCTAGGATGAAGAAAAATTCTTGAATTCATTTTGTAAAAATTCAGCATGCAGATTGACACAAACAAGAGAGAAGAATGAAGATGGGTATTTGGTTCCAAATCTAGCTTTATCTTGAAATAACATGCCTCAAATGACATTTGAAGATCTTAAACAAGGGGTATATGTTATATAATATTCTTCACTTGATATATTTTGAGTGATTTTATTGCCTCGTAGATATTCTATATCAAAACTCATACGCTTCGCTCAGTTGTGTTGATATTTGATATCAACTTGTCGATAAAAATGATATCACTCAAAATGATCTGATATTGGGTTTATACCATATCAAAAATTCAAATTCGTTTATCATATGAATATGCAGCTGATAAATGATGTTAGCCATGTATGAGGCTGATAAATGATTTGTCTGAAAAATATCACACAGATCTCCATAATATCAGAAATATCCAGAATTTGCCAAGGGGGTACACTTTTTAGAAAATTCCAGGGGGTTCATATTTGACAACTTTGGCCCAAAGCCGGGCCCAAAGATGGCAATAATCACTTGAAAAGTGCTCAGAATGGTGAAAAATTGCATGTTTTATAAAGAATTTTTGGCCAGAGGGGGGGGGGATTCTGGCTACGGGCCTGATATGGGATCTTTAGATAGATTGTACCAAATAAAGCCTTAGAAACTAACAGAAATGTGTGAATCATCATTTGAATTTATAATCCATGATATCCGGAAGCAACTGTATTGCCACTATATCAATTTTAACAGTTATACATTGTTTTTTTTGTTAAAAAACATAAATTGAGTACGATAAAACCCCTATAACACACAAAATGATGTTTTTTCATCTTCATTCAAAATTCTGAATATTCTACTCACAAATCCAGAATATTTTATACATTCAAATATTCAGTCATCTCTCACTGTTAACAATACAATACTGCAATGTTTAATTAGAACTTCACTCTTGAATTAATTGAAACATAAATATCCTGATGTGCCAGTGTTTGTGTGTGAGAGATAACAGTTCCTTTTCCTTTCTCTTATCTCATTGTGGATTCTATCAATGTATTGTCAGGATCAATGAAGAACTCTGACAAATTCTTATGCCATTTCTAATCATATTGTTATATACAGAGGAATATCGAGGAGTCATGGTTTCTGTTTTACATTGGTTCAGTTTCATACTCAAATTGTAGAGAAAGAGAACAGTTTGGGATTTTTCTTCTTATTTAATTAAAGGATTGGTTGTTGTTTAATTGTTTTATTCGAAGAGTATGTCTATCTTTGAAGAGGAAATTGACTCCCTCATTAATTTCTGAGAAGAATTTATACTTTTTGGAATATGTTTTACAGTACTTTTTTTGTATTATTCTTTTTTATATCAATATTCATTTATTCATCATTTATTATTCAGCAAGACGTATATAACTGATTAGCACTGAGGTAAGCACTAATATATACCTAATTTTCATATAATGGTACTGCAAAATGAAAAGTCATTTTGACTTTTTACTTTTGCTCCTTTTGATTGATGCTTTTGGCAAAAATTAAACTGTTTGACCATATTGAGCACTTGGCCAGGGTACATGTAGTTGACTAAATTTAGGATGAAGAACTTCATCCAAGACTAAATTGACTCAGAGGCGTAGCCAGGGGGGAGGGGAGATACCCCCCCCCCACAACCAATAAAAATATAAGCATGAGATAGAAGAAAAAAGCTTTAAAATGCTTTTTATTTGAAACATCTAGCTCAAATTTGAAGGAAGTTGCATCAATATTTGTAAAATTCAAGATGAATTTGAATTATTTGGCTTGTTTATGCCACAATCGTACCCCCCTGACTGAAAACCAAATTTTTTTGGGCGACTGAAAGCTGGCTACACCCCTGTGACTAGTTGACTGAATTTTCTATTTATAACCTTCAAACAACAGAGAACTTGATGCAATATTCCAAAAACCACTAGGATTACATTATATGATAAACCATGATATCCAACTCTTCTCACTGACAGCCAAATTGTGATTTGTATCAGAGTTTTCATGGAAAATGAGAAAATCAACTTTCTTCTAAAAAGTTTATATAGCCATGATTCCCAGATATTTCGCTGCCTGTTAATAATCTAGATTTGCGTATTGTCTTCTGGGATTCTCCTAGTCTTATTATTCATCTTAAATATGCACTGCAACTAAAAACAATTGATATAATTTATCAAGCTTTTTCTCCAG